ATGTTGGGGTTACATGTCATTAATTTGAGGTACCATGTCATTATTATGGGTGGACATGACGTTATTTTGGGATTACATGTCGTTATGTTGGGGTTACATGTCATTAATTTGAGGTAACATGTAATTATTATGGGTGGACATGTCGTTATTTTGGGATTACATGTCGTTATGTTGGGTTTACATGTCATTAATTTGAGGTACCATGTCATTATTATGGGTGGACATGTCGTTATGCTGGGTTGAAATGCCATTATATGGGTGGACATGTCGTTATGTTGGGTTGACAGGTCATTTATTTGAGGTAACATGTCATTATTATGGGGGGACATGTCATTATGTTGGGTTGAAATGCCATTATGTTGGATTGACTGGTCATGACGTTCGGTTAATATGTCATTATAATGAGTTAACATGTCATTATTATGGGTGGGCATGTCGTTATGTTGGGTTGACATGTCATTATGTTGGGTTGACATGTCATTAATTTGAGGTAACATGTCGTTATGTTGGGTGGATATGTCGTTATTTTGGGTTGACATGTCGTTATGTTGGGTTGACATGTCATTTATTTGAGGTAACATGTCATTATTATGGGTGGACATGTCGTTATGTTGGGTTGACATGTCATTAATTTGAGGTAACATGTCGTTATTATGAGTGGACATGTCGTTATTTTGTGATGACATGTCGTTATGTTGGGTTGACATGTCATTAATTTGAGGTAACATGTCATTATTATGGGTGGACATGTCGTTATGCTGGATGGACATGCCATTATGTTGGATCGACTGGTCATGACGTTCGGTTAAAATGTCATTATGTTGGGTTGACATGTCGTTATGTTTGGATGACATGTCATGACGTTTGGTTGACATGTCATTATATTGTTTGGACATGTCGGTATGTTGGGTTGACATGTCATTATGTTGAGTTAATATGTCATTATGATGGGTGGACATGTCGTTAAGTTGGGTAGACATGTCATTATGTTGGATTGACTTGTAAGGACGTTCGGTTAATATGTCATTATGTTGGGTGGACATGTCGTTCTGTTGGGTTGACATGTCATGACGTTAGGTTGACATGTCATCATATTGAGTGGACATGTCGTTATTATGGGTGGATATGTCGTTATGTTGGATGGACATGTCTTTATGTTAAGTTAATATGTCATTATTTTGCGTTAATATGTCATTATTATGAGTGGACATGTCGTTATTTTGGGTTGACATGTCGTTATGTTGGGTTGACATGTCATTAATTTGAGGTAACATGTCATTATTATGGGTGGACATGTCATTATGTAGGGTGGACATGTCGTTATGTTGGGTGTACATGTCGTTATGTTGGGTTGACATGTCGTTATGTTGGGTTGACATGTCGTTATGTTGGGTGGATATGTCGTCCTGTTGGTCGGACATGTCATTATGTAGGGTGGACTGTTATAATGTTGGGTTGTCATTACATTGTGTTGGGTTGACATGTCATGGTGCTGAGTTGAAACAGCATCGTGTTGAGTATTCATGCTATGATGTTGGGTATATATGTCATGGTGTTTAGTATCCATGCTATGTTGTTGAGTGATTTCATCATTGTGTTATGTCAGTATGACATGATGTTGTGTGCTTGTCTCGTCGTTGTCTTGAAGTAAGCTTTCCCTTATCCCGGTTTATAAGGTTCATGTGGCGCAAAAATAGTCCACGATAAACGAACGCACTTGGAGTGAACTATAGACAGAGCTAAACAAAATGCACAGTCAGGAATATCATGTGCTTCTTTCACGCTTCTACTAAATTATGTAACGTTTCTTTAAATCTGCATCTGGTTTGATATTGTTTTTTAAGAAAAAACGCAAAGTAGCAATATTCAGCATTTTAGTTTCGGTCAGGCACAACTTTAACCCTTCAATCTACACACAGGGGTTCGTTGCTAATGTCTGAAATACAAATATGTTTTACTTATATGAGTGACATCAGTATAACATATGCGTATATAAGACATTTGTGACGAACCCCTGCGAACTAAACGTACCGTAGATCTGCACCTGTTGTTTTCTTTTCCGGTTCAACCGTTTCAACTGGTTGTACCAAATAATGTTCTAGTGTCGGTGAAAATAAAGTAGAACACGATTTGTATTAATAAAATATCAAAACATTTTGATACAAGCTTGGTTACGAAGGAAAACATTGTTATTGATCGTATACATTATATACTATACTAAATGTACGATTTTTGCGACACAATATCTCTATAAATAATAACGGGAACTTTCTAATTTCTTGTTCAATTATAACTATGAAATATGTAAAAACAATTGAGATATCTCAAACAATTAGGTTATCTCATGTTATATTCCCTAATCAATTCAGATGGCTCTATTACATTTTTTATATTACATTCAAAAGTATATCGTGTTCAATAATTCAGTGAGATATAATTAAAAATTATACCAAACCTTACCGTGAATAAAAATACAGAGTCAATGTTTAATTACTTACTAAGCTTTCCTATGTCACAAAGTTTATATGAGAATGTTTTAATAATATATTACTATGACCCGTTCTCTACTTTAGTTTAACGTAAAACCTAATTTCATTCGATGCATCAAAACGCTTGATATTTTTACAAGTGTACGAAAAACGCTTACAACAAGACAACGACGAGATAAGCAGTGAACAACATAACATGATAACACAACATCATGTCATACTGGCATAACATGATAACACAACATCATGTCATAATGACATAACATGATAACCCAACATCATGTCATACTGGCAAAACATGATACCACAACATCATGTCATAATGACATAACATGATAACCCAACATCATTGTAATACTGGCATAACATGATAACACACCAGCATGTCATACTGACATAACATCATAACACAACATCATGTAATACTGGCATAATATGATAACACAATATCATGTCATACTGGCAAAACATGATACCACAACATCATGTCATAATGACATAACATGATAACCCACCATCATGTCATACTAACATAACATGATAGCACAACATCATGTCATACTGCCATAACATGATAACACACCAGCATGTCATACTGACATAACATTATAACACAACATCATGTAATACTGGCATAATATGATAACACAACATCATGTCATGCTGACATAACATGATAAGACAACATCATGTCATACGGGCATAACATGATAACACACAATCATGTCATACTGACAAAACATGATAACACAACATCACGTCATACTGACATAACATTATAACACAACATCATGTCATTCTGACATAACATGATAAAACAACATCATGTCATACTGACATAACATGATAACACAACATCATTGTAATACTGGCATAACAACTTGATGAAATCACTCAACAACCTAGCATGGATACTTAACATCATAGCATGAAAAGTCAACATCATATCATGAATACTCAACATCATAGCATGGATACTCAACACTATGCTGTTTCAACTAAGCACCATTACGGGACCAAATAACGACATAACATGACTACAAGAGTTTGAGTTTGAACACCAAGACATGGTTACCAAACACAATGATATGTCAACCGAACATTACAACATGTCAACACAACATAGTGATATGTTAACCGAACATCATGATATGTCAACCAAATATAACGACATGTCCATTCAATATAGTGGCATGTCAACCGAACATCATGACAGGTCACCCAACATAACGACATGTCCTCCCAGCATGACATGACATATTAACCAAAAGGTCATGACAAGTCAACCCAACATAATGACATGTCAACCCAACATAATGACATGTCAACCCAACATAATGACATGTCAACCCAACATAATGATATGTCAATCCAGCATAATGACATGTCAACCCAACATAATGACATGTCAACCCAACATAATGCAGACAATGAGGATAAGACAGTCGTGGCATTCCATAATTGTATGTTAAATGTGCGATCGTGTTGATCACATCCCATCATACACATATATATATATATACCATTCGTCGTTCACGGCTGACCAACTGTCTTTTTTTTGTTGGAGAGGGCGTTTCTAAGTTTAGATAAATTGTGCCTCATCCTTTTTGCTGAATGACAAATAAAATATGTTTAAATCAATTGTCTTTTAATTTGCTGCGTTGATGTATCCTTTATAGGTTTTTAACTCGGTCCTGTAAGTACTTTGTGTTACTATAATTCACAACTCATATACAAGGTTTTTAACTCGGTCCTGTAAGTCCTTTGTGTTACTATAATTCACAACTCATATACAAGGCTTTTAACTCGGTCCTGTAAATACTTTGTGTTACTATAATTCACAACTCATATACAAGGTTTTTAACTCGGTCATGTAAGAATTTTGTGGTACTATAATTCACAACTCATATACAAGGTTTTTAACTCGGTCATGTAAGTCCTTTGTGTTACTATAATTCACAACTCATATACAAGGCTTTTAACTCGGTCCTGTAAATACTTTGTGTTACTATAATTCACAACTCATATACAAGGTTTTTAACTCGGTCCTGTAAGTCCTTTGTGTTACTATAATTCACAACTCATATACAAGGCTTTTAACTCGGTCCTGTAAATACTTTGTGTTACTATAATTCACAACTCATATACAAGGTTTTTAACTCGGTCCTGTAAGTCCTTTGTGTTACTATAATTCACAACTCATATACAAGGATTTTAACTCGGTCCTGTAAGTACTTTGTGTTACTATAATTCACAACTCATATACAAGGCTTTTAACTCGGTCCTGTAAATACTTTGTGTTACTATAATTCACAACTCATATACAAGGTTTTTAACTCGGTCATGTAAGAATTTTGTGGTACTATAATTCACAACTCATATACAAGGTTTTTAACTCGGTCCTGTAAATACTTTGTGTTACTATAATTTACAACTCATATACTAGGTATTTAACTCGGATTGTACGATATTTCGTAATACTATAAAACACAAAACAGAATTTGGTCTTTATCCAATGTTGAAATATTTATTGTTTTGCTGTAAATCGCGACGATGGACTAGCTCTTTAATTTGAATGGTAATACAAAAAATAGCCCAGCTGTAGCTCAGACAGCTTAAAAATTGTTCTGGTTTGTTAACAATTCGTACTACGGTAATGCACAATGTTAAAATAAAACGTTAAATTATGTATTGAATTACTATGCGCACCTTCAGTTAGGATACTACTTAGATATTCATTAATCGAAAAATAAATCAGTTATCCTACATGTATATCATAATATCAAGTTCAAATATGCTTTGAGCCTGCCAATTCTCTAATCATTTTACCTAGAAGAAACAAATATGGAGAGTCACGCGTCACCTAAATGTTTTAACACTAAAGCCAGTATCAATTGCAGGTCGTCTGTCAGTTTCGTGACAAATGAAATGTAAACAAGTTTCCTCTTTTTAAAAAACAAATGACGTGTACATGTATGTATCTATTAACTTTATCAAGGATAACAGATTAGTGAGATATACATTGTAACTAAAATAACTTAACTCTTTAGAATAAAAATATATTACCATTAACATGCATCACTAGGTAGCGTGAACAATAAAATTGTAGATATGGAAAAGATTTGATGAACATTCTTTTAACCTTTTTTTTTTTTTTTTCATTTCAATGAAGTTATTACTGATGAAGTTTGTTTTTGAATGTAAAACATAAACGATTTTATGATTAGAAGAGATATGAAAAACGAAAATGATAAATAATGGCAACATCAATTATTGTTTGTGAATTAACGACATTGTTGTAGTTAACACAAAGGAAATTATAAAACGTTCAGTATCACACCTGTATTTAGTAATTTAAATTTGTATTTAGTTATCTTTTTTACTTCAATTAGCTTACCGGCCATGCAAGCTAAAACTTAAAAACTCCACAATCAAAATGTGTAAATTACCTATAAACAATGATGCTACTTAAATATCAAAATGAACAGCATCATCGTCAATAAAGTGATGTCTTTCCGATAATGAACAGACCCATATTGTAAATTAACTCTCACTATTTATGTAAGCTCATTCGCCCCTTGAATTTCATAATGAACTATTCATCCTTTGATTTGAACGAGTTCAAATGTGTCTGCAGGGATGAATGAGCAAACATGATATACAAATATATACCTGCCATATACAACACAAAGTAAAATAATTTTCCTGGAAGTATGAAAAGAACGACTCACCATTCCAAAATTTTCAAATTTCTTTCAGAATATATATTAGAACTTAAATAACTTAACCAGTTTCATATAAGCTGTTTTCTCATTACTTTGTTAACTTGTTGTGACAAAATGCGTCTTGTGTTCTGTTTAAGATATAACATGTATGAAATCCAAATATATAAGAGAATAAATTGTTATCTGCATGCCATACAGTAATGCTTCCATATCAACGGACAGGAAGATTTAGGCGCCCTGCTGCCCGTCGCCTCAGTTCCTGTTTATCGGGCTTCCCTGTGAAGAGCGTTGGAAATTCGTCGAATCTGACAAAATATTTGGGCATAGACCCCATGCCATCTAACGATTGATCCTTGGAGAATTTTTCTTCACAATAACGCTGAACGTCTGATGGTGACAGGTCAGCCCCTTCCTCCGCTATGAAGCAGACACATACTTCTTCATACAGCCGTGCATCTGGAACTGCCACTGTTGCCACGAGACGGAGACCTTCTAGATGCTTTACTACGTCATCCACCAACGCCGGTAGCACCTTCCTTCCTCCGCGGGAAATATTATCTTTAACTCTACCGCGTATGATCAGATCTCCTGATGACGTAATCAAACCAAGATCTTCCGGTTTAAACCATTTATGCCTATCATCTGTAAATGCTTTCATCGTTATAGCTTCATCTGCGAAATATTCCTTCATCAAAAAGCTACTCCTGATCTGAATTTCGCCTACCTGCCCTATTTTTGTTGGACGTCCTTCTGAGTCGACGATCCTGACTTCCACACCGTTAAAAGGAGTTCCTACATTTCCAGTTTCGAGGTGATCTCCCGGATAAAGAGCAGGCAGAAAGGTGACGGCCATGGCCTCTGTTGAACCATATCCAACTGAAAATGATCTGCAGAACCTTCCTAATACTTTTGTGCAGAAATGGTCTATAATTTGACCACCAGTCGTTATGGACTGCAACCGGAATCCATCGTCTTCGATATTGTCTTGCTCTGTGATAAGATCGTGCAGAAAGGCATTAATGAAATTAAAATGACTATGGACAACCATTTTAGGCTTACCAGTACTACCGGATGTAGTGAATATAATTGCGTCATCTTCGGGATATACTTCCGGCAAAACCGTACCTGCATTCTCTGCACTTTGAATGTCGCTGAGGAGAGTGTGGGCGATCTTTGTTGAACTTGATTTTCTCAACAAGATGATCTGATGATTTTGCTTTTCATTATTATCCTCGTTTTCCAGACTACTTATAACCGGAAACAAAACATCGTTCTCACCAGGATCAGCAAACACAATTCTGCATCTACCCTTGTCTAACATATCGGCGGCGTCGGTGGCATTTTTGACGTTGATATTGAGTTGAAGGACAACACCTCCTGCCAATAAGATGCCAAATTCCGCTACGATTCTTGCTAGTGTGTTAGGACCAAAAATGCCAACTTTGTCCTGCCGCGATACACCGGAGGTAATGAGGTACTTGGCCACACATCTCGATTTTTCATAGAGGTCTTTGGAGATGATACTCTGGCGAGATCCATCTGCACAACGATAGATGAACGCCTCTGTATTGGGAGAGGTTTCTGCATTTTTCTTTATAGCGTCATTTAGACTGATGTACACGTTCGGTACAGTTGGAGGTGAGTGTAGATAACTCCACTTGCTCATAGTTACTACAACAAACGAAACAATGGCATCATAAAATAAGTTCACAAGTCATCTTGCTCAAAGATACAATACAGTGCCGTGACGTGCCCGACGTCCTATACCACTAGACTATCGCGCTAATTTAAACCTTGATGGCTATGTTGTGCCAGTCTAACATGGAGTTATATGGCAACGTCTAGATATATATAGGCAAGCGAATAGCTTCTCTCGACCAAACGAATAGGTCATAATATTTAGATATGGCTTACTTGTTACATTCGAAAAACACGAAAGTCTTATTGAAGATCAAGGAGCATTCGTCGCTTGTTTGAATATTAAACATGCACACGGAAATATTACTGACTAATTTTACATTGAAGTTTATCAATAAAATGTACTGAAAATCATTAGTGCCTTATGTAGCCAAACATATATTGTTATTTTCCTGTCCTTAACTCGATATATCGAGATAGTAACCACCAATTTTGATATTTCCAAATATTTGGTTCAGGTTGGTAAAATGAATCATGTAAAGATTCTTGTACCACAACCAATAAGTGTTTCTATTTGACGTTTCGATGACTTGTACGGTATGTACTTTGTCACCTTTGTGTGTAAACGCTTCACTGATAATTTGTCTGATGAAGTTGACAGAGTACATACCGTACAAGTCATCGAAATGTCATATAGAAACACGTATTGGTTGTGGTACAAGAATCTTTTCACAATCAGAAAATTTGATGAACATGCGTCATAATTAGATGTAATTCTTATTGTTTTCAGTTATACCCGTCTTATTCCATAGTAAGTTCCATAGTTACATTCTGTACTTTAATGTTTAATACTGTGTCATCCTCGATACTCATGGGGTTACGCTCACTTATGCTCTCTGCACCCCTTGAAAATGTCATGACAAAATCGATCATTGTGAGCCCCATTGTGGATGACATAAGAAGATTAGTTTGATTATTTGATGTACATCAAAATAATCTCTCGGTCGCGCAATGGTAAACTCACTGGCTGTTAAGTCGGGTGTTGCGCCTCTGTAATCTTTAAAGGACAGGTTTCAGCCTATCGAATAGTCAGATTTTGTTTACCTGAGACCAATTAAATAGCTAATTGTGTGCATTTGTTTGGGCTGTGACATATTCCAGGGGTGCTGAGAGTGTACATGAGCGTAACCCCTCGAAAATGACAAAGACTTAAACTTTAAAGGTACAGAATGTAACTATGGAACGGGTATAACTGAAAACAATAAAATGGAAAATAAGATCGAACTACTGCACGTGTCTAATTACATGTATACATGTACAGGAGGTGGTACGTGCTCATGAATATTTGATATATTGTATTAAAGTTTAAAGTTAAAAGTTTAAAGTTTGGAGTTTAAAGTTGAGTCATGACTCGAGGTTCGAAATGTGAGCCTTTGAAGAGAGAGACCAGTGAAGGCCTCGGCCAAAGGGATCCAGGCTAGGGATGACACAGGTAGATCATGCGCACTTGGTGTGCGTTAGAACGAACTGTTTGATGTTGTAACTCTGTCACCCTCGATACTCCGTTGGTTACGCTCACTTTCGCTTTTTGCACCTCTAGAGTGTGTCGAGTATTTTATTCTCCCTCCCATAGATTTAGGAAAACTAACAATAAATAAAATATATACAATTGTATAAGTGTGAAACCTCGAGGGAAAACGTTCCGTGAGGAAAACCGGTTAAAGATAATAATAATATTAAATCCCCGTGTGTGACTTAATTATTATCATACATGGAAATATCTCTTTTTAAAAAGGTAAAAAGGTGTTTACTGAGAACACTCCTTGTTTTTTCACACCAGAAAACATTGTATACTTTAAAAAGAGTATTGGACTTAGAAACTTTCTTTCTATCTTTGTTCTTCTTTGTTTTCTTTTCGTTCTTTCCTTCGTTTGTTCTTTCTTTTCCTTTTCTTTCTTTTTCTATATTTCTCATATATTTGAGTTTTACAAGGCACCTTTATAGGCATGAATTTATTTCTTTATTTTAAAATTAAATCATACTTTTGAGTCTTATTTTCTTCAAATGTTATAATCATATGTGAAACTACAGGTATAACTCGCTAATTGTTATAAGTAGTATCTGTTGGTGATTATCTAAAAGCGAAGTTCATGTATAATATATTTTCCGACTACGACAACAATTACGAGGAATACGAAATTAAAATAAATTTATATTACGTCAACAAACCTTTTTACTGCGTCATATGATAAGTTCGTTCATTGATGACTAGCATGTGGTACTAAAGGTCTAAGGAAATGAAAAACAATTTCGAAATGGTCCAAATGTATAATATAGCTAAAGGGTTGTTCATGTAAATAAATTCCTACTACAAAGTGGCGGCTAACCGCAGAGACTTATTCGACTACCATGATACATAAAACAATTACTGAATACATTTTATTAGTTTGTGAAATAACGACAGTATCATATTATTTTGATTTGTCCATTTTATAGCGATTTGAGGCACAGATTAGTCAAACAATACTTTTACAGAAAACTCTCTATTTTTGAATTACATGAAATACAATTACTTAGTATAAATAATGTTAGAGAACTATCCAATTTAGGTAAATATTTATTTTTGGCATTGAAGAGGTGTTAATTATTGGTATATAAATTGTGGTATTTCATAACTGTAATTATTTAATTTAGTATTATTATATACTCATTATTAAACGGTGTTTTATGTGTATTGTGATGTCACTCTCCTGTCTATTCTAATTACGATTAGTGAATGTTATATCTATATATGTATGTAGCTGCTTTTGGTAAATAATGAATTAATGAATATATTAAAATTTCATCTAAATCAGCCATTGACACTTAACTCAAAGGACCAATCTTTACTTTATACGATTACCGTACACCCTTACCTGTACATAATTACCTGTACATCCTTACATGTACACCCTTACCTATACATAATTACATGTACACCATTACCTGTACAAATATACCTGTACTGGACGATGCACCTATAATGAAAGCGTCTGAGCTTACCTGTTATTCAGTCCTGACGTTCAAAGTGACTTCTCTGTCCGGCATTGTATTTAACTATAGTGATACTGTATACGCAACCCTGACTATCATACAACTAAAACATCGTGCATGTGCATAAACGTTGTGTCTTTTTTTCCGAGTGACCTTTTATGATTTAGTTAGAGACACGAATTGTAATGTTCTTCTTAGTGTGGCGCATATTCTACGTAAGTATACTTACTATTCTACATCACAATTGACCGATATTTTGACTTGTTTGATGTGTAGTATTACTTAATCCCCAACCCTGACTATCATACAACTAAAACATCGTGCATGTGCATAAACGTTGAGTCTTTTTTTCCGAGTGACCTTTTATGATTTAGTTAGAGACACGAATTGTAATGTTCTTCTTAGTGTGGCGCATATTCTAAGTATACTTACTATTCTACATCACAATTGACCGATATTTTGACTTGTTTGATGTGCAGTGTTGCTGAATCCCATGTGGTACATGCCAAATAGAGCACCACATTGTTTACCTATGACATTGTATGTTAAATATGCGATCGTGTTGACCACATCCCAACATATACATTTGTCGATCACGGCTGATGAAATGTCTTTTGATGTGTTGCATTGATTCCTCCATATACATCTCAACTATTTACATTGTATATTTTTCTCACAAAAAGAAGGAACAGTACATATGACAAGATATCTTCAGACAAGTTATGGGAATTTGAATGACATTAGAATAAATTTGCTTTCTTAAGGTCGTTAACTCTGTCCTGTAATTACATTGTACTTTGTGTTGCTATAATTCACAATTCATATACTAGGTATTAAACTCAGAGTGTACGATATTTCGTAATAATGTAAAAAACAAAACTGAAATTGGTCTTGATCAAATATTTATATATCATATTGTTTTGCTGTAAATTAAGACGATGAACTAGTTATTTTACTTGAATTGTAATACAAAAAGGAGCTTAAATGTAGTTCAGACAGCTTAAAAATTGTTCTGATTTGTTCTTAAAGGGGCTGGTCGGGGAAAAAAAACCCAAAATAAATGGGTCTAAATGCATGCTCTGGCCTTCCAAAAGTTATACCACGGGATAATGATGGTCGAGTTCTGCTTGCAATGTCCAGTTTTTGACCACTGAAATATCGGGGAAGCCCCACGTAAATTTAGCGCAGATCTATTTATATATTTCACGTGGTTGTTTTGAAAGTGAGGCAGTGAGGTTAACAACAATAGCACGTAGTCTATCAGTCATGTCGGACTCAACTAGCGGACAAGACAGCAACGCTATACGTAAACAATTGTTTTCAAAGGTCATGTATGATGCAAGTGTAGTATTCCTACCTATGTTGCTTAGGGGATAGTACGTTGTTTTAAGTATCTATACTGGCGATGTTCTAATCGCCAGTATAGACACGAAAAACACCGTACTATCCCCATTCTAACACATTAACAAACATACTACGCTAATATGCTTAGAAACATTGTATTTCGTTGTACAAAGTACATAGTAAAATACTATGTGACCTGAAATGATGACGTGTCATTCTGCAGCGGACTGACCAATCGGAAAGAAGCTGGATTAAAATTGACCAAATTCTTATATTTCCCTGTCAGTATGTATACCGATCTGTGCTTATCGACAAAATCGGTGATTATTTGTATAGATTTGTGAAGAGTTTTGTGTAAATGCATACGACACATGTGAAATGTTTCATTTGATTTCGGATCTAAATAGATGCCTTCACACGGATGGAACGAACGTTTCAGTAATAAATGGAGGTAAGAACAAGGAATGTGTACTTTTTATTTTTAAATCCATTCGACAAATACATTTCATCGGTCGTTTCTGTTCTGTTGCCTACTAGCCGTATCAGAGGGATTTCGCTAAGAGGCGAACTTGACGCCATATTGTTTTGGTTTGAAACGGGCCGTGGATTAAGTGCGATGGGAGGAGCTTAACACGATTGATCATGATTCTATCGCAGATTAGAACACGATCCGTATCCAATCAAAACACGCGTTGCAAACGAATCGTGTTAGAATGTTATATGTAACGATATTGATAGTAATGTCAATAAACGTGGAAATCACTGCAAATTGACGTCCAATGCAGCGATGGGGCCCCATGAGGGGTAATCTAAATCCCGTCATCAATGTCATCATTTCATTTGTAAAGTTGTATTTACTATTTTGAAGTAACAGTAGCATATCGTTAAAAAAAACACAACAAGTGTTTGCCTGGGACTGTCGGGAATACTAATTAAATAATTAAAACGACCCAAAGACGTATCTAGACCAAACTTGAATGGAAGAAAACGTTTCAACTTCAAGTAAACAGGCATATTGACCCGGTGTCATTGGAACTTTGATAAATAGGTCTATCAATAGATTAAAGACGTGTTTATTACGCACAACATCACTTTTTAGATCCAGTTTTAATCTATTCTACATTTACTGTGATATAAAGAAAGCAGAATGCTTGAATGTAATACACATACTATTTGCCCTACAATATTTAAATTATGCAATCATCAACCACATAATTGGCCTTCCAGTGCTTCTCGTCTTACATGACCTCATACCACGAGGAGTTTAGGCAAAGAACAAGTTACTAATCTCTCTGTATACAAGTCACAATTTTAGACAAATTTTGTCGGTTACCGTTTCTTTGTTGTGTCTACTGATCTTATGAAAGGAGCTGAGAAACTCAAAATGCTTTCATTTTTTTTCTTCAGATTTTTATTGTTCCAGATTTAAATTGATAATTGAAAGCTGCCAGGGTTGGGGTCCTGGAAGCAGCTTCTTTACAATAAATTACCTCTCGCAGGAGGGCTCTCGTACACCATACTTCGAGTCTCAGACAATGAATAGTTCATACATTCATTCATATTTTGTTTTTTTACATGATATATTCATCCATCTCATTGCTGAAGTTCAATCACACATTCAGTATTTCATTCAAACAACCATTTGTTCATGTGTTATAATTATAAATGAGTAGCAAGGGAAGTCTTATTCAATATTGTCTGTCATCTCCCTTCATTTTAAAGTTGCCCCACTTACAAGCTTCATGTATGGTATTTTGGTGTAAAATGTAGTCCTGTACATTATTATTTTTTTGCTTTGATAGCTACTCTATTGAATATTACCATTATAAACTTCCGAGTCTAATGCATTTTTTCCACACCAGATATATCAGATGTGTGAGATGACTGAGCTCTGCAATATGAAAATAAAAGAAGAATTATTATTTACCAGAATCAATGGGTATGCATGTAAGATTCAGAGAATTAATTGCATTACATATATAATAATCATAATCAAACATAAAATCTGTTTTGCTACCTATCCTATCCTGTATCTGGGCCCTCTTGGGCCAAATGATAAATCTGCATGCAAGTCAGAAAATTTTGTTGGGAACCATAACATTTCTGGAAATATTTAAATACTGTAACATGGTTGGACCCGCTAGTTTTACCAAAACTGGAAATGATACATGATACACACAAAATAAATGTAGATTCATCACTGGGCAAATAGAATGTTTGGGAAAAAACCCAACTAGAAACATGAATGGTGCCTTTCCCCTTTCAAATCTTGCGAAATACAAATTATGTGTATTTTACCTTAAAAATGTCAGAAAATTAAAGCTTCACACAACTTGATGTCATATTTGTTTTGCATTATCCATTATAATACATCATATCAAGTTTCTTTTGCCTACCACTTGTACTTTTCTAGATTTACCCAAAATTACAGAAAATATTTAACCAGCAGACGAAAACACGGCCGGAATGGGGTAAAACAGTATGCCCAGACAAAGTTGTACTGGGACATATACTTAAAACTGGTCTAATGCAAAATACAATTATAATGTTTGACCTAAGATCTCATGGCAATGGTTTCATTTTAATATAATTTACCGTCTGTATATATACATACAGTACACATTTCTAGTGTTACTAGCTAAGCCTATCATACATGTGATGTATACATAATTTATATTACGACAATTTATGTGTCACATTGTGGGTGATATTTTCCATAAAAGTATATGCATACATGTACATGTACTTACTATATATCTGAGACGTTGGACATTAGTGTACCAGATAGGCTAGGTTCATTATGGGCAGGTGTGGATGTAATCAGTACCGGTGCCCCTGTAGATGTGTGTGATGCCTTCCTAGACCGAGAAGTGCTACATGTAGGTGTCTCCATTGAAGTGCCATGTACCCCCATTAAAGTACCAGGTGTGGCAGTGGCGACACCATGTATTTCTTGTGTCACTGAAGCACACCTTAAACATGGAAAAAATAAAAATTATTTGAAAAATAAAATATTCTCCCAATATCTTTGTTATCACAATTTAAGAAACATCATTGAAAATTTACTGAATTTCACGATACCCCCACCAGTGATGGATGTTATTTTAGCTATAAGAGTCACATGTACACTCTCCTTGACCCTGAACCAATAAAGGGTGGGTGGCTAAAACAGTTCACCATGAATCATTGTTATCACTGAGAAATATTCAAATACAAGGAGAAGGGGTTCATTTCATTTCATCAGATTTTATTGACTTTCTATATGTCAATTGGATTGGACATCAGGCTAGGCCTATTTAAGTCCTTTCCAAACTTATTTACAAACATTACATATATTCTGTCATAACAATCCAATTAAACAGTGCAGGGGAGATAACTCCAATTTAGCTTGTGAAATGAACATCTTACAACTTTTGTTTAATCATTTTCTGTTTATGTTTTAGATATTAACAATTAAATAAATCATGTATATTTATTGACAACCCATCCTACATAAGATCCAAGGGATACAGGCCCAAAAGTCCCTGTGTATAAACACATTGGCCATCCACCCACTGGATATATAGGATAAGTTACCAAGAAATAGACATTTTGTAAAATTTCAGAATATGATATGGATTCATATAGGAAAATGTAGTTATTATTATATATTATTGGAGTTGATTCTCTTAAAATGTATTTAACAAAGCACTATAGAATATTCATGTAACTATGAAATAGTTAGAACAGGTTATAGAATAGTACACTCATAAATTTCATCCAGTCCAGCCGAATACCAGAGATGTTGTGAAGATAGATATACACCAGTATCAATACTTATTAGCAGAGTGATCATGACACTATAAATAATAGCATCACTTTCAATGTAAAGTTTTGCTGTGAGTGAGATTACATATCAAGCCTATTAGTTTGACAAATGTAGTCAGATATACTTTGTAAAATGGATATGTTAATATCAGCGCTGCATATTAAGCATCCCTTTAATAGAGTTTTTAGATTAAAATGATCATGATTACCAGTTATACCAAATTGAGAAATTTTGATTACTAATTGCATTCTAAAGTTGTTATAGAGTGGGCATTCAAATATAAAATGAAATGCATTTTCATTTTCATGTCCACATCTACATGCTGGTGTTTCATTCAGATGATCCATATATAAGTCACTATTTAGGTTGCTAGCATGATTTCTCAGCTGACAAATTATGATATTGAATTTTCTTGGCCCATAGTATTTAAATGTGCTAGCAATTTCTTCAGTGTTGTTCATATTATCAGATTTGATGAAATTTTTAAATTGTTGAAGGGAAGTAGCATTTAAGGTTTCTGCAGATAGAAGGTTAAATTCTCTACACATTGAGGGAAAATAACTATTGAAATAATTCTCAGTTCTACAGAAAGGGGGATTGAAAATACGGCTATTTCTTAGTGGGTATCTTACATTTATATTGCTGTGAAGGTATGGTTCAATGATGTCTTCTAAGTACTTAGGCGATTCATTATTTAAAATTTTGAACATAAGTGCTAATTTATGATTTTTTCGCCTACAACAAAGTGATTCAAGTCCAGTTTCTGCATAAAGCTTACAATGAGAGGTCCCTCTACGCAATCCTGTAATAATTCTTAATGCCTCGATCTGGATTGACTCAAGAATATTTTTATTTTGGTTACTACAGTTATCCCATACTACATCCCCATATTCAAGTATTGGTCTAATAAAAGAGGTATATATTGTTATAAGACTTTTTCTATCCAATTTGTGTTTTAACATTCTCAATATATTCATTCTTTTATAAGCTAGCTCATAAATATTGTCAATATGATATGTCCATTTTCCATCACTACTAAAAGTTAAACCAAGATGCTTATGAGTTTGTTTATTAGTTACAGTTTCATTACCAAATAAGATATCTGGATGATTTTAGGAGAAGGGGTTATACTATTTGTTTTTATATTTACTGTAAACAGAATGCAGGCACTGTCTATTACTATAATATCAGAGAATTTCCCAAGCAATCAACCAGCAAACACACCCCACAACCCCTTCCGGCGACTTTTGTAGGAAATTTCTAACTGGAAATATTTACTTTTGCAGTAGTATATAACACACTTCATCTTCATCTGTAGACCTTCCTCCGTCAATATCTTCAATATCGTCAATATTGTCAATATAATCAAAGTCTAGAGTTCAGGATCCATAAACATTATTAGATAATTCACATGTACAGTAGATTTGGTTGTAATTACTGTCAGCAGATTATAATCTGTATTTGTATGCAGTTAATTTTTCCTTCATTACATATGCATGTAGCTCTAACATCTTGGATGTAGGAGAGTTATAAATAAAAAATACTCGTCCGATAGGCCTTACAATTTACTAATTGATGTTATAAAACTCTTATTTTATATCCTAAAACTAAAAATAAAGTTAAATAAACGTGTAAAATGATAAAAATAAAACCACCCCAGTCAAGATTATGTTTTGTCTGTACACTAATTTATGTAAAAAAATCCCACCCCGCCTCCTACTTAGGGGCCCCACCGTATACTAACAAAACAGCCTTGAAAGTAAGGTGTCAATTTCCCATAAATTTACATTTTTCTTGGACACTGATAACAGGTACCGTTTGCCAACAAAATCATTCATCTTTAAGTACATTTATACAACTGATGTTCTATAATTGCGAACAGTTGACAGCCTGGCACACTTACCACTTATCGCTGCGTGTTCGTGTCCACCTAATATGCTGCCTCCAAAGTCTTTATAAAGGGTTGCTCAACGCCCATTGCTTTATCTGCGTTTTGTGATTGACTCTGTATTCGTTCTTTGACGATACCTTGCCTGTCATGGCTTTTGCATAGATCTTTCTTTCGCCGCGATGTTTACAATGGCATTGTTGATGCGGTAAAAAATGCATCACTGATCTGGGTCTATTGGTAGTTTTAAACTGTCAGGTGACGATTTATGATTTCGTTAATATAATTATAATTTTTACTTCCAGGGAGTGAATTTCACCAAAATTTGAATCGCTTTCTTTCATAAGTAAGTATTATAAACATATATATACCATTTCAACAAATATAGGATTTTTTCCCCGATTAGCCCCTTTAATACTGTAATGTACAAAGCTTAAATTAAAACGTTCAATTACGTATTAAATTACTATGTGCACCTTCAGTTAAGATTCTACTTAGATATTCATTAATCGAAAAATAAATCAGTTATCCTACATGTATATCATAATATCAAGTTCAAATATGTGTTAAGTCTGTCAATACTCTTATCATTTTACCTAGAAGAAACAAATATGAACAGTCACGCGTCACCTAAGTTTTTGATACTTAAGCCAGTATTATTTGAAAGTCGTTTGTCAGTTTCTCTTCGCTTTGAATGTCGCAGATGAGGATGTGGGCGATCTCTGTGAACTTGATTTTCTCAAAATGATGATTTGATGCTTTTAAAACGGAATGCAATTCTAGGCGTGCGAAAAGGTTTTAAAATAGAACGAACAAATGAGTTGTACATGTATGTAACTATTAATTTTATCAAGGATAACAAATTAGTGATACATACACTGAAACTGAAATAATTTAACTCTTTAGAATAATGATTTATTAGCATTAACATGCATCAATAGGTAACGTGAAAAGTAAAATAGTAGATATGGAAAAGATTTGATGAGCATTCTTTTAATATTTTTTCTTATTTCAATGCAGTTATTACCATTAATTGTTTTCTTGGAATGTAAAACATGGAAGATATATGAAAGATAAAAATGACAAATAATGACAACCTCAATTATTGTTTTTAAATTCACGACATTGTTATAATTAACACACTTTTGAAATAATTTTCTGTATGAAGTGCATAAGGAAATTATAAAACGTACATTATCACACATGTATTTCGTAATTTGAATTTGTATTTAGTTATCTTTTGTTTTACTTCAATAAGCTTACCAGTCATGCAAATTGAATTGTGAAACTTCACAATCAAGTTGTGTAAAACACCTATAAACAACAATGTAACTTCAATATCAATATGAACAGCATCATCGTCAATTAAGTAATGTCTTTCCGATAATAAACAGACCCATATTGTGAATTAACTCTCACTATTAATGTAAGCTCATTCGCCCCTCGAATTTCATAATGAACTATTCATCCTTTAATTTGGACGACTTCAAATGTGCCTTCAGAGATAAATGGGCAAACATGATATACAAATATACCTGCCATATACAACACAAAGTAAAATAGTTTTCCTGGAAGTTTGAAAAGAACGACTCACCCTTCCAAGATTTTCAAATTTCTTTCAGAATATATATTAGAACTTAAATAACTTAACCAGTTTCATTTACGCTGTTTTCTCATCACGTTGTTAACTTGTTGTGACAAAATACGTCTTGTGTTCTGTTTAAGATATTTTTTGTATGAAATACAAATATATAAGAGAATAAATTGTTATCTGCATGACATACAGTAATGATTTCTTATCAACGGACAGGAAGATTTAGGCGCCCTGCTGCCCGTCGCCTCAGATCCTGTTTATCGGGCTTCCCAGTGAAGAGCGTTGGAAAATCGTCGAATCTGACAAAATATTTGGGCATAGACCCCATGCCATCTGACGATCTATCATTGGAGAATTTTTCTTCACAATAACGCTGAACGTCTGATGGAGACAGGTCAACCCCTTCCTCTGCTATGAAGCAGACACATACTTCTTCATACATCCGTGCATCTGGTACTGCCACTGTCGCCACGAGACGGAGACCTTCTAGATGCTGTACTACGTCATCCACCAACGCCGGCAGCACATTCCTTCCACCGCGGGAAATATTATCTTTCACTCTACCGCGTATGATCAGTTCTCCTGATGACGTAATCAAACCAAGATCTTCCATTTTCAACCATGTATGCCCATCATCTGTAAATGCTTTCTTCGTCATAGCTTCATCTGCGAAATATTCTTTCATCAAAAAGCTACTCCTGATCTGAATTTCACCTATCTGCCCTATTTTTGTTGGACGCCCTTCTGGGTCGACGATCCTGACTTCTACACCGTTGTAAGGAGTTCCTACATTTCCAGTTTCGAGGTGATCCCCCGGATGAAGAGCAGGCAGAAAGGTGCCGGCCATGGCCTCTGTTGAACCGTATCCAACTGAAAATGATCTGCAGAACCTTCCTAATACTTTTGTGCAGAGATCGTCTATAATTTGACCACCAGTCGTTATGGACTGCAACCGGAATCCATCGTCTTCGATATTGTCTTGCTCTGTGATAAGGTCATGCAGAACATATGGCATCAACAAAGCACTGTCTACATCTTCTTCTTTCATAATTTTCCAAATGGTTTTGACTCCGTCCACTGTTGTGCTTAAATTTGAGTCGGTGAAAACCATAGGAGATCCCATAACTATTGGAATTGCTAGTGTTCCACCAAGCCAGCAAAAAGGACGATTGTTAAAGGATTTTTTTGTTTCTTGCATTGTACGGACGTAGGATTCAAAGGCGCCAATGAAATTTAAATGACTATGGACAACCATTTTAGGCTTACCAGTACTACCGGAAGTAGTAAATATAATTGCGTCATCTTCGGGATATACCTCCGGCAAAACCGTACCTGCATTATCTTCGCTTTGAATGTCGCTGATTTGGGTGTGGACGATCTTTTTTGAACTTGATTTTCTCAAAAAGATGATCTGATGCTTTTGCTTTTTATTAGTTTCCTCATTTTCCAGACTACTAATAACTGGAATCAAAACATCGTTCTCACCAGGATCAGCAAACACAATTCTGCATCTACCCTTGTCTAAAATATCGGCGGCGTCGCTGGCATTTTTGACGTCGATATTGAGTTGAAGGACAACCCCTCCTGCCAATAAGATGCCAAACTCCGCTACGATTCTTGCAATTGTGTTAGGACCAAAAACGCCAACTTTGTCCTGCCGCGATACACCGGAGGTGATGAGGTACTTGGCCACACATCTCGATTTTTCATAGAGGTCACTAAAGGTGATACTCTGGCGAGCTCCATCTAGACTACGATAGATGAACGCCTCTGTATTTGGAGAGGTTTCTGCATTTCTCTTTATAGCGTCATTTAAACTGCTGTAACTGTTCGGTAGAGTTGGAGGTGAGTGAAGATAACTCCACTTGCTCATAGTTACTACAACAAACAAAACAATGCCATCATAACATAAATTCACAAGTCATCTTGCTCAAAGATACAATATAGTGCCGTGACGTGACTCGAACCCGCATCAACTCAGTGACGTGCTATACTACTAGACTACCGCGCTAATTTAATCCTTGATGGCTATGTAGTGCCAGTCTAACATGTAGTCTATATATATATATATGCACGCGAATACCTTCTCTCAACCAAACAATAAAGGTCATAATATTTAGATATGGCTCAATTGTTACATTTGAAAAACGCGAAAGTCTTATGGAAGGTCACGGAGCATTCGTCGCTTGTTGGAATATTAAACATGCTTACAGAAATATTACTGACTAATTTTACATGGATGTTTATCAATTAAATGTACTGAAAATCATTAGTGCATTGTGTAGCCAAAAATATATTGTTATTTTTCGTGGTAATAACTCGATATTTTGAGATAGTAACCAGCAATTTTGATATTTCCAAATATTTGGTACAGGATGGTAAAGCGAATTATGTAAAGATTCTTGTACCACAACCTATAAGTGTTTCTAGTTGACGTTTCGATGACTTGTACGGTATGAACTTTGTAACCTTTGTGCGTATACGCTTCACTGCTCATTTGTCTGATGAAGGTGACGGAGTACATACCGTACAAATCACGAAATGTCACATAAAAACACGTATTGGTTACAAGAATCTTTTCACAATCAAAAAATTTGTTTTCATAACATGCGTAATAAATATATGTAATTTATATTGTTTTCAGTTATTACCATCTTATTCCATAGTAAGTTCCATAGTTGCATTCTGTACTTAAATGTTTAACCTTGTCATCCTCGATTCTCCTCACTTATGCTCTATGCACCCCTTTAATATGTCATGACGAAATCGAAGGTTCATTGTGAGCCCCAATGTGAATGATATGAGAAGATTAGTTTGATTATTTGATGTACTTTAAAAGAATCTTTCAGTCGCGCAATGGTAAAACTCACTGGCTTGTAAGTCGGGTGTCATCCTCGATACTCCGGGGTTACGCTCACTTATGCTCTCTGCACCACTTAAAATGTCATAATGAAATCGAAGTCTCATTGTGAGCCCCATTGTGGATGAAATGAGAAGTTTAGTTTGATTATTTGATGTACTTTAAAAGAATCTTTGGGTCGCGCAATGGTAAAACTCACTGGCTATTAAGTCGGATGTCGCGCCTCTGATATCTTCATAGGACAGGTATCAGCAAAGCGATTATTCAGATTTCGTTTCCCTGAGACTAATCAAATAACCAACCGCGTGCTTTCGATTTTGCCGTGACATATTCAAGGGGTGCTGAGAGTGTAAATAAGCGTAACCCCTGGGGTATCGAGGATGACCTAAACTTTGAGGTACAGAATGTAGCTATGGAACGGGAATAACTGAAAACAATAAATGTTTTATTTGATATGGAAAATAAGATTGAACTACCGCACGTACCTAATTACATGTATATATGTACAGTAGTTGGTACGTGCTCATGAATATTTAATATTGTATACATTGTTGAAAACACTTGGGGGAGAATTTTAAAGGGAGATTTAAACTGAGTCATGACTCGAGGTTCGAAATGTGAGCTTTTGGAAAAAGAGACCACTGAAGGCCTCGGCCAAAGGGTCAAGGCGAGGGATGACAAAGGTAGAGCATGCGCACTTGGTGTGCTTTAGAGCGACTTGTTTGATGCTGCAACTCTGTCACCCTCGATACTCCATTGGTTACGCTCACTTTCGCTTTTTACACTCCTAGATTATGTCACGTATTTTAAAACCGGTTTAACATAATAAAAGTATAGGTAGCAGAGTACAGTAGAAATGGCTTGATCCTGAAAATACAGGGCATGTCTCAGATAAACATTGATAGCGGAAAACCGGTTAAAGATAACACTAATATAAAATCACCGAGTGTGGCTTAATAATATTGCACATGGAAGTATCTCTTTCAGATAAGTAAATCTTCTAATAACTGCATCCTCTTTTATAGCGATAAATGTGGTTTGATATTTAATGAGAAGGGTTTAAACAAAGTGTGTGTCACGCAGCTGACAGAGTATTTGATCAATATTTAAATAAAGCACACTCCTTTTCTTTTTTTTACACCAGAAAACATTGTAATCTTTAAAAAGAGTATTGGACTTCGGAACTTCATGGAACTCTGCATTTTTATACAAAGTTATCATATTTGTTATTGGAATCAGGCTCATAATTGAATGTATTCTATTTTATCAATGTAATGGCATAACATTTCAGACATAGGGGGGTTCTTCTTTCTTTCTATCTTTCTTTATTTTTCATTGTTTTCTTTGTTTTCTTTCTTTCTTTCTTCCTTTTTCTAGATTTCTTATATTTGAGCTTAACAAGGCACCATTGTAGACATGAATGCATTTCTTCATTTTAAAACAAATCATACTTTTGAGTCTTATTTTCTTCAAATGTTATAATCATATGTGAAAATAAGGAAATAACTCGGTAATTGTTTAGGTCAATTTTATAAGTTGTATCTGTTGGTGATTATTTAAAAGCCAAGGTCATGTATAATATATTTTCCGACTACGAAAACAATTACGAGAAATACGAAAGTAAAATAATATTTCATTGACGCAAAACGTCACAGAAACCTTTTTACTGGGTCATATGACAAGTTCGTGCATTGAGGACTCGCATGTGGTAACCAAGGTCTAAGGAGAGGAAATACAAATTCGAAATTGTCCATATGTAGATTATAGCTAAAGGGTTTTTCATGTGAATAAAAACCTACTACAAAGTGGCGGCTAACCGCAGCGACTGATACTCCACCCTCAGATTCAACTACCATGATACATAAAACAATTACTGAATACATTTCATTAGTTTGTGAAATAACGACAGTATCATTTTATTTGGATTTGTCCATTTTATAGCGATTTGGGGCACAGCTTAGTCAAACAATACTTTTACAGAAAACCCTCTACCTTTAAATTACATGTAATACAATCACTTAGTATAAATAATATTAGAGAGCTATTCAATTCAGGTAAATATTTATATTTGGCATTTAAGAGGCGTTAATTATAGGTTGATGTATTGTGGTGTTTCATAACTGAAATTGTTAATTAAGTATTATTTTATACTCATTATTGAACGATATTACTTTATATAATTATCGTACACCATTACCTGTACATCTTTACCTGTACATCCTTACATGTACCTGTACACCCTTACCTGTACATCCTTACATGTACCTGGACACCCTTACCTGTACATATATACCTGTACTGGATGAAATACCTCTGATTAAAGCGTCTGAGCTTACCTGTTATTCAGTCTCGACGTTCAAGGTGGCTTCTCTGTTCGGCGATGTATTAAACTATAGTGATGCTTTATACACCACCCTGACAATCATACGACTACAAAAACGTGCATGTACATAATCGATATGTGTCCTTTTCGCCGAGTGACCTCTTATGATTTAGTTAGAGACACGAGTTGTAATGTATTTTGTAGTGTGATGCATATTCAAAGTCTACTTACCATTCCTCATCGTTACGATCTTCACTATCTTTGCTGTATGGTTAAACCCACGTGGTACATGCCAATTAAAGCATCACCTTGTCAACCTGTGAGGTTGTATTTTTAATTTGCGATCGTGTTGACCACACCCGAACATACATTTGAATATACCATTCGTCGATCACGGTTGATACAATGTTTTTTAATGTCTTGTGTTGACCAGATTTTAGTTCTAAAATATTCACAACACAGAAAGAAGGAACAGTACATTTTATGAGATATATTCAAATTATAATATAATAACAAAGTATTGGAATTGGAATGACATCAAAACAAATTTGAATTCTTTTAAGTCGTCAACTCTGCCCAGTAAGTACTTCGTGTTACTAAAATTATCAAAGCATAAAGGTCTTGAAAGCGGAGTTTATTATATCTCATAATAGTATTCATAACAAAGCTGCATTGGTCTTTATCTAATATGTTTTTGCTGTAAATCAAGACGATGAACTGAGCTATCTCCTTAACTTGAATTGTGATACAAAAAAATTGTCTAACTGTAGTTCAGACAGCTTAAAAATTGTTCTGATTTGTAAAATATCCGGTAATTCACAATGCTTAAACTAGGTCGCCATGTTACAAACATGTATTGAATCACGAATTACATTTAATATGTGCATCTTCAGTATAGTTAATACTTGAATATTGATTAATCAAAAAATAAATCCGTTATACTATATCATAAATTCAAATTTATATCTGCGTTGAATCTGTCCCTTCTCTTATTATTTTATCCAGAAGAAAACAAATATGGAAAGTCACGCGATACCTCAAATTTTAACACTTAAGCCAGTATCATATGAAGGTCTTCTGTCAATTTCGTGACAAATGAAATGTAAAAATATACAATTATTTATATGGTATATATTATAAGTTACAGTTAGGATTAATTTATCTACAACTTTATAAATAGGATCCAGGGAGCCGAATAAGGTTATTATTTACTGCAACATACAGATTTGTATTTGATTAAAGCTTGTAGCATGTTCTGTATTACTTAATAATTGATATAACTTGATAACTATGTATTATATATATTTATTGCATACTTACAGATTTCTATTTGAGTTAGAACATCTGATTGTTCAAAATCACAAAAAAATATAACAAATATATTATAATCGAGATATTGTTGTGTTTATCATTAGCATTTAATGAAATGTTTCGTTTTTCAATATTTCAATAGATGAATAGATGATAAGATAGTAGATATACCCGTATTATATAAGTTAGTTTGAATAAACAGAATGAAACATGAATTTTCCATCACAACCAGTATCAACCCTCGACCAATATCGGATATTGGAGTCTCGAGATGATACAGGGCGTGATATGGGAAAAAGGCATGTATTATTCTCTATTCATTGGTTATGATAATATAATGCAATACCATGGTGCTATGACACGGCATATATCTTCTTTTTGTCGACAGTAGTATGTTCCTGACCGTACATTTCTTTCAACCAATGATATGTACTGACACAATGATAAGGGAAAATATTGTATCAACATGATATATAACATGGTGTATCATATCTTTGTTTCATTATGCGACAAGATATGCCCGACACATCTACGGTAATTTAGTAGTTCAAAAACTATCCAAAAAGGAAACGCAAAGGCAGTCAACTGACTTTGTACATTACGTCAAGATGCCTCATCTAGTACGTTGAAAGTAATCCCGAATGCACGTTATGACCCCGATTCTTTTGTTTGTCCTACCCTGTACATCAACATGTAACCCTGAACGACCCCGGAACTTATGCGTCTCATTATTCCGTGAAATTAATCAACCTACCCAGTATCATGTTGTAGCGTTATTTAAGCGAATACGTCCATTGCATTGTATGTATACGGTCAAGAACATATGTTCTAGTGATTGTAGTGATTGTAGTTTTTGAGGAGTGTTTTTTTTTATAATAGAAATTTGAGTTCACATCCTGTACAAACTGTTAATTATCAAGCACAGAATTGTTCGTATTTATAACTTCTGTAGCAAATGCTCACCCTTTAATAAATCATGAACAATTACTCGTGAACATTTTATCGAGGATTCCTAATTTGTTATTGTTATTTTTGTAAATATATTCATCTATTGTTTTTTTAATCTAATGATTTCTTAATTTCAAACCCCGAAAGTATACAGGTACGTATATTAATATGATGCGTACGCGTAGATCGAATAGAAGTATTCCTTGACATAAATGTTAATAATAAGAAAAAAACAATGACCACTGTTTGCTACTTCATTCTTAAATATCTATCCGGAAACACTTATGCATTCTTCCTGCAGGACACAGATGTCTCTTTTCCGGTTGAACAGGAGCTCATTACATTGTACCAGTCATGCACTTAAACAGAGATTACTCTAGTACGGATATTAGATATAAAACAGTGTGTCCTGTTTTGCACATGTTTAGATATGAAAGCTTTTATTTTACATTTTATGAAACCTACATGTAGCAAGTCAACGTTTTGTTTAAAGAAACGATCGTAAAATAGATAGTGTATGTGGATCAAAGAACTAAAATGATGTAAATATCAACCATACCCATGAAATAAACGGATTTTAAAGAATAGATATTTGAAAAATTGAGTGAAGGGGACGCAACTCCTACTTTTTAAAACTTTAAAATGATTTGTGATTATAAACGCCATTAATTTTATACAGTAGCTAATGAGGTACGTCACCCATACACTATGTATGTGCTTTAAATAAATGGCTTACCTTTTTTTTTCATTTCATTTTTCCTTCATTTTATATTGTGTGCATCGAGGATTAGGAACATGATTTAAATTCAATACTTGATTGAAACATGTTTGGACTAGGACTTTAACCCTCTCTTTATAAATCACTTTATATTTTCTATTTTCACAGTCAAAAATAAGCATCCTTTCGACTTAACATTCAGTGTGAATCTAGCGAAAATGTCGCAGTTGATTGTAAACACTACCAAACGAGTTTTCTTTGTGTATTTGATAGACATGTATACTAGCCAGAAGTGTTCATTCTAATTTTTGATGTTTTATTTTATAACAGACACGGTTATATCACTATATATGTTGTTTTTAAAAGGATATTTGTTTCTCGACATTTTACACCTGATATTTGTTGTATATGATCATCTCGAATGGGACTGAAGTTGTGCCCAACGCTCTATATATAAACTGTTAGCTATTCAGCTCGATCTGTATCAGCAGCACGCAACTAACAAACTCATATACAAAAGAGTATAACTGAATTGAATTAAGTGCATATTTCTTATCCATGCAAATCTCTTTCATTACGCTTCTTCCAAATATAATTAAAATGTAAAGATTATATATTTCAAAGATAGATTCAAGTTTGCTTACTTCTAATGTAACACGACAGATTTATCGGCATTGGTAATTGTGTCGCATATATGTACGATATAAAAAAAGCATCAACAAAATACAAATTTGAATGTTTTTTAATGTATTAACAATTGTAACAAAAGAGAGACAATATATCATAGCCAAATGGATCAATTAACAAATTTAATGGTATGGACTTGTGTGTTACAAGGACTTGGTACATTGTAACACGAACAAAGCTTCCATCCCACCACACAATAATAGTTGTAGCTATCACACAGTCTCCTCAGCGAACTTAGCAATATGCTGCAGAATCTCATTAAACTTGGCCGTTACAGCCTAAAAGCTTCATAGTTCAGTGGCTATAATACGGTACTGATTCTCATATGTATTATGATTTTATATGACGAAAACAACAGTTCCGTGTAAATGGAAAAAATTATGACACAAAAAAATATCACACTTTCCGTTTAGTCTTGGTCTTGATAAATGACATCCAAAATATTTGTCTATACATTCTTTTTTACCTACACACAATTACAGTGCAATATTCAGTTCATGTACTGAAGTTTCATATCTCTTCATAAACTAATTTATTATACAAACTATAAGCTTTGTACATCTGGCATTATTTTCCTTAATGAGCAATTTATTGATTTCAAACATAAACATACATAAGTATCAAGGCTTCATCCTACAACAGTCGCCAACCGATATTAAACTCTTCGTTTGAATGCTAAGTTCGTTTTCAACTCAAACAGGAATTGAAAACTTATTTTACGAACTTTCAAACACATCTGTTTTCTTACAAAATAAGTGTTCAATCCAAATTTGTGTTCAAAACAAATTTTGCATTTATATATTTCATTGAATGGCTTAATTTAATCAGACCAATGTTAGGGGCTAATGTTGCAATAAAAAAGTAAATTAAATCTGAATAACCAATAGCAAAACGTTAAAATCTTTTTTTTTTTCTTTTCTACATCTTGAGTGAAATCATTTTTATGCTTCAAAGTATTTTAATTTGCAGACAGCGACCACTTCCCATTTTTGATAATTTTACATCATTGAAGACGGTTTTACATATGAAATACCATACCGTTACTTCTTTCAAATAAGAAAGTGGTATCGACACAAGTTTATGTTTCGTAATCGTTAGTGTTGATACATGGTTAAATGTCAGAAGTTGATGGGTTACTATACCATACCAACTGCTTCCAAGGAACACAGGAAAGCTAAAGCATGCCCAATCGTTGCACAGTAAAACTCTACACAATGTCACCCTCTCGTACTATACCAAATTGGCAAATCTTGTCTTTGATAGCTTGGTAGGCAATTGTAGACACGATTATATAATTAAAAAAAAGTCTGTTGAGATAATGCGTTTGTAAACTTTGTAACATGCATTTATCATCAAACTTTGGGATATAATAACGGTTTTTTCGATAACAAATGATTTCTGCCGAACACGACAAACTGGCAGAATAAGATACAAATAAAGTGTTGACGTTTCTAAGTTTTCTGGAAATGGTAGTGACATATGCATGATACAAAGATGATAAAATACTACATTTTGAATTTATAAAGTAGAGCAATCCTGAAACTGGTAAATACAAATTAGTTCCTTTTCGAATTAATGGCTCCATTGTTGTACAATATTGAAAAGACAAAACTGTGTTGTTGTTGTTATCGCCTGGTCATTATGGTATACGTACATTTAAATGAGGCATCTTAATTTAAAACATTACGTATAAAAAAGACTTAACATTCTTCTCTTGTCTAATGAATAAGCATTTGGTATTAATCAACATTCTCTTAACAGCAATGTCAGAAAATTGTATTCATATGTGCATAAAAAAAGATGGTATACAGTATATGTGAAAATCAAGTTTTTTCTGGTGGATGTAATTGTGTTATTTTTCGAAGAAATGAATTTCCTCAAAAATACCAGAAAAACTATTAAAAACAAATGGTCGACTTTCTTAGTTTGTCGTTAAAATTGTAGTTTGATAAGTTTTGTACAATGAAGATGTGACACGAAACATATTTAAGCATTGCAGGCAAGTACAAACGGGAATCAATCTTTCCCTAAAACTCTAGTTAGAAATATTTATAAATATTTCAGCATGTTTCCATATTATGGTGCAGCAGCAGCAAGTCCGTTTTCTCTTATATAATTAATAACAAATATATCGGTAGTATTCCAAATTGTGTAATATTCTGATAACAAAATAACTTAGTATCTTTCATGTGTATGTATTAAATAATATCGGTTGACAACTGTACTTCTCAAAAACAGTTTTAACAAGTTTTCCTGATAATGTTCTAATGTTTTCATTAATTTATCTTACAGGGCGTTCGAGTTTGTAGTGTAGAGAGCGTTAGGGGACACTGTGGAAATAGACTTGTATTAAGGTAATTTCCAATAGATAACAGTATATATTACTGGACCCTGATTTTGTAATTAACTTGTGTACAAGAGTATATTCAAAATAGTTTTTTTACAAAAACATTATTTTCGTTGGTTGTGACTTTCCAATCTTTATTCAATAAATATTTATTTGACGACAATGTTTTATTTTATATTTCCTTTTTTTAAATTCAGTAATACTGCTTTTTAGTTCTTCTTTTTCATTTCAAAAGTTCCTGAAATTTATATCTTGATGTATTTCAGATGAAAACTGATCAAAAATGCTCAATAGGATTTGACAACGGTAACAACCATTCAAAAAATATTAGATACGATTTATATATTAGAATATATTTTTGATTGCGTCATCCCGATTGTGAAAACATTTATTGCAATGTTGCTTTAAATGTGTTCATTAATTACTACGTTCATTGTTGAAAAACAAACCTATTTCAACGGCTCTTAGATGAAACTTGCAGTGCCATAACGTTTACCCTGTGTAAAGCAAAAGTGTGGAAGATGATAATGAAAAGTTTGTCTCTTATTAGGTAATATTGAATAGCGACCGCTATTTCAGCAAATGTTTGAAATATTATAACTACAAATCAGTAGTTTCTAGGATATTTTTAGCACTGGGAAGATGTTGACCTTGTAGCACTATACTCCGCGGTATTCTCCGGACTGTCTTAGACGGTTTGCTGCAATCCCCGGTGCTAATTGTGTGGACTGTTTGTGTTCCCCCAGAAGGACCTTTGTATCTACACTCGACCGAGTTCGCGCGCTGTAACTTCCTGGTGTCTATATCACATACGAAGTCAAGTGAGCCAAGCGATGGAGGTTGACCAACCGAATCACCTGGGTGTGTTTCTGCAGGACTATTTAAACGACCCGGATGTGCCTGCGGTGGACTATGGGAATAACCCAGACGTGACGGATGGACATCAGGAGAACAATTTGGACGAACCGAGTGCGTCTCCAATTGACCAAAAACATGGGCCGGAAGTTTTTCTGGAGGAACACAGACACTTCCGTTGAGTTCTGTCTGTAATCTACGATCTGGCGGACCGTCACTATGGCGACGCTCCAGAATTTGGTGGTCATTGTTATTAAGGTAAATATTATCACAACTTTTGTTGGCTTTATAACGCCAGTCATCATTGTTAATGGAAGGAATGTTGTCTAAATGAATTTTAGGAAACAGTGAAGCTCTAGGCTTTGATCCTTGAGGGTTAATCCTCTTTTTGGAAGAGCAAGGCACATCTAATTTACACCCCTTCTGTTGGCTGGGCATATTTATCACATTATCTTCAGATGTTGGAGATCCAAAAGAAAATTGGGGCTTAGTGTAAGGTGTAAAAGGTGTATTTGGAGGGGATTCCGAATGAACACTTGGATTCGGAGTGAGTATTTCGATTAAAGATTTTAATCTTTCGTCCATGTGAGTTAGTTCACTTCCTATAGTATCCACTTTCTTTTCTATCTGGAATATATTCGTTCGTGTTCCCTCAAAATCTGTCTGTAGGTTTTGTAACGAAGTTGACATGGTTTCAATGCCATTTACCTTTTCAGCTGAAATAGAAAAGAATTATACGGGTTATAATTTAAACATATCCATTCACGAATATGCTTCCCGTAAATGTTATATATATATCTAGCCTAGTTTTCTAATAAGCCCTATTCTTCTTCACTAATAATGTATCTGTTGGCACATGCCTATTCTGTACTCACTCTCCACGACTAGGCCCTGTCATACCATGTTAGCTAATGAAAACAGTTCTCTAAAAATGAGTTTTCTCAATGAAACGTTACACCAAAACAATGCATACAAGGTACCTCTGTATCAGTTATAATCAGACTGATGAGGTCCACTCGGATTTTTGTAACCTAGCGTATTACTCCAAAGAACACGAAATAATCGAAAGGAATCGTTTTGGCTTACAGTAATTTCCCTTGTCGAGTTCAAAAGCCCGTAAAATGGACACTCATGTTTGTGCTGTACGTCTACAATTTCTAGTAAAACGTTAGTAAAGTATATGCTTTATATTATGACAGTTTAAATTTCAAACAATTATAGTTGTGTATAATTAATCACAATATGTGTTTTGTATAAGGACTTTAACTAATGATGCAGAAAAAGAGTGACATATCACATTTTCCGTACAAAATCATGTGGTATTGCAACTAATGAATTCGTTGAATAGTTCCATTGCTTTCAGTTGGCATTCATAGTCTATATAAATGCCAAATGAAACTCCACAAAGTGATCTAACGCTTTATGTTGAATTTCAGACTTTTTAAAGCATCGTGATGTCAGTATGATAGAAAGGAGAATTCGTTTATAATAAGCCGCCCATCAGTATCTACATTTATGAAATTAATCGTCTTTTCTTCCCAATCTTTTAGAGAAAACAGCAGTTTTTCGAGGATCAACTGTGACGCCGAAGATATCAAAACGTTACAATCATAGTGTTGGTAAAGACGTCCATATTTGGAACTTAAATCCTAGCAATCTTGATGCTAAATAAATGACAAATATACATTTTTATATACATTTAATCCTCAAAATATTGTCCCTCGTTTCATTTCCAAACATAACTAAAAATGTATCCCAATATAATGTTCCTCTTTTTCATAACATTTCTTTTAAATGTCTACTTTAACATTTTTAAATGTTGAATGGATATCGTGTTGCGTTAAATAGCGTGAGAATATCCACATGTGAGTATTTATATTTAAGGTTACATATATATCAAATATAAAAAAAATTAAGACATTGCCGGTTCAAAATTCCAACACCACTAACGTCTCAATGAGAAGTCTTCCTATTCTACTTTTACAGTACATGTATCAACATCTCCATTTATCATAAAACAACCCAGGTGGAGTATAAAATGGTCTGGGGTAGATGTTGCGGTACCTGTGCTGTAGCACTATAACTGATACCGTTGGAAGCACGGTCCTACTACAAACAGAACACTTTACATCTCCAGCACACACGTAGGCATACACACATAGGGAGATATTAGCGAGGTCGCATAGGACTGGTAGTTAGTGCCTGATAAGGCAACTCCTGCAAAGTCTCAAAATTGTATTATTTAATGTATATGCTAATTGTATTGATAGTATATATTGTATATCTATGTACTGAAATGCTCTTCAGAGTGGCTAATTCTAGCTAGTACAGGAGTATGACAACTGTTTTATACTATCATCATTATTATTATCATTATCAATATACGACTTGTGGCAGTATAACGAGGTTCCAATGTATATTAGACTGATAATGGTTACCCGCAGTGGCTAGGTTACGCTGCTTCCTGAGGGACGATCGACGGAACTGTGTGTTGTAACCCCTCTTCGTGGCGGGACTAGGGCTAGTGACAGAAGGACCTCTCTTCATTGACAGGGGACTTGTCAGTTCTCTGTGTATCAAAACATCAACACAATTAATATTTCTTATAAACAGAACGCATATCCCACAACTAAAACAAATTGTTCACTTTAGCGCTTTTGTTTTGATAATTTCAAACGCTGCTAAAATGCTTTTTGGGTATTGACTGAAACTTCGCTCAACTGTTTATTGTTATTTATTGTAGCACATATTAATCCTATTAATATGATGTCAGAAATAATATTATCAAAGAGTGACAGTTTCTTTAACAAGCTCTTCATCAAAATAACCTATCATTTTTAATATCTATGAACTTCAATATCCTGCTATTATTGTCATTGTCCGAATCATATTTCCCAGTACTTGAAGAAAGTTTTGAAATACCGTTTGATATAAATGGAAATAGAACATCAGTTCGTTTTGAGTGTTTACTAAAACGCTTCAAGATTAACTTTTATTTGTTTCTTAAAGGGTGTGTAACAACCTTTTTGCCTTTTTTCTGAAACATTTCAAATCTGGGTTTTTTTTCTGAGAATTTACTATTTTGCTTAATAGCTACTTTTTAGGCATATACTTAAACGCCAAAACTGTTATCACATATAAGAACGGTAAGACTACTCTTCAAATATGTATGAGTCATATACCCTCAGAAGTAATTTCACAATCGCTACCTGTTGAGCCTCTCGATGTCCCCGTTAGGGATATTGAAGGTGAAGGATTTATCGGCAAGGAGAGGTGAGGAGGGACTGGACTCCCTACCGCCATCTTTCTGCGAGTTTGGACTGCTAGAGTTATCTGCCCTCTGAAACACGTGATCACTGTCTGTTTCTTCGTCATCCTCCGAGATTGAAGGAAGCGTCATCACTCTTGTTATTGGAAGTTTCTCTTCATATTCACCCTTTAAACAGATGTATATACACAGTGAATACTATCGAACTGTGTTTGTTTCTGTATGACGTATACAATTCCAACAACACATAATAATAGATTATCATATCGGTGTACTTGTATGCTAAATCTGGGATATAGTACGTATACACTTTCAAATAATTAAAACAAAAAAAAACCATAAAAATTAATGATTTTGTTTATAATGAAACCAGTGTCTATCTGTTTCCTTTCTCTTAACATAAAAAGGCACATAGTTAAAAAGTCGAAACTCTCGCAAGCCGACATAAAAACGCAAATGAAGACAAAATGTACAATCTACAAGTACTTGGAAAGTTTCAACACTACGAGAGTTGCAATAACAAATATTACATTGTCAATCGAATCGAAAGAGTGTTTTGGTCGACAGCGGAATATGTTATTTCATTGTTTGATAAGAACGTCGATGTTTGTAGTATGCTCTACAGTGCTAATGTTATTATGTTACATGTATGTGCGACGTTAAATAAAGCCTCTTGACTCTTGACTCTTGATTAGAGTGCCTATTGGTTTTGTTGTTCATACATTTGTTCTCGATGTGAGGACGTGATATTACGTCGAATTGACCTAGCTTGACATGGTGAGTATTAGCGATAAAGCATAAGGCGCTTTTCATCCGGGAACACCGGGTCTTATTATCTTTGTCCGTTTTCGATTTACTATATGTAAATATTTCCTTTGTTCATTCATCGATTTTAGGTTCAAGTTATGGTTTGGTTGTTTTGTATGTTTTTGTTTTGTCCTGCCACACCTGTTAATCTTATCAAGATCAGATAGTAACTTTTATGTTATCGATCAAAGTGTCGATTCTATTGTTGCAAGAACACGTGGTATATCAGTGAAGTCTTAGCTATTTATAACAATATTCCGTCTTCTCGTAATGCAGAGTTATCTTCTCTTGTGAGCAGGTATTGACAGTTACGTCATTTGTTTATGAGAGTAACGTCATCAATTTTTGAGAAAACGACGTAATTTTCTCACACAAACCAATGACGTAACAATAAATCCCTGCTCACAAGAGAAGATAACTCTGCAATACGCAAAGACGGAATACAACAGTTTCCAGTAGTGAGGTTGCCGGTTTGTAAGATTATGCTATAAGTAGCACTTACGTCAGACTCATCTGTCCCTTCCTTCAGGTTATATGTGAGATCATGGCGAATATCTTGAGTAAACTTTTCAGCGAAGTCTGGATAAAGGTTTAAAACTTCCGCTAACCCCTTGATATTGATTCCCTGAAGTTCACAATACGTCAAAGATCTGACGTCACAACACGATATCCCAACAGGATCCTCGAGGTTGATGTCAGTCCCGAATAAATCACCTTTCCCTATATTAAGACAATACGATTTCAATATTTAAAACCATCTGTTATCGTTTTATGAATGCAGGATGTTCAATATTTTTCAATTGGAAATCATATATTTGTATTTTCAAAAACAACTAAATTCAAAACCGATTTTATCTGATACCAAAGTGAAAAAGGTATTTATAATGCCACACTGAATGGAAAAAGTCAAAGTTATTGATACATCTACAGTTACGTTTGTCGAAGATGTTATACTTCCAAAGACCATTCAAGAGTAAAACTGAATCAGAATATGTTCTGCACGGCGTGACATTTCGAAAAAACGGGTTTTCCGAATTTCTTTGATCGTTGTCTGCATGGGTTTTTTTTCTTCAGATTCTTCCTTGTATGGAAAAGAAAACCCAAAAGAAGCACATTTCATTCACTAATATTATTATAATTAATACAAAAACAAATTTGAGACCGCGGCGGCCGAGTGGTTAAGGCGTCTGACATTATGCTACATGTACCACCAGCCCTTCACCAAAGGGTCACAAGTTCGAGGCCTGCAGACATTTTCCGCAGGTCTGGGTACTACGGGTTTCCTCCACTACAAAACCCTGGCACATGCTCAAATGACCATAGCTTTTAATAAGACGTAAAACACAAACAAACATGAACATTTCTGTGATCTTACCAAGGATGGCCACTACCATTTCCGTCTTTAGAACTTCCATTGACCCACTACATAACAAGTAGACGTAGTTGATGGCGTCGCCTTTATGGACGATAAATTCCCCTGGGGCGGAAAATGCTCTACGTGTGTGGAGGGAGATGGCCTTCAGACAGCCCTGCGTCGCGTTCTCAAATATCGGGAGAGAAAGTAAATCCTTGTGTAGATGTAGGGAAATCTCCCCCCTCATCTCGTCTGGAAAATCTTTTAAAATCTGCAAAATATTATAAGCAAAACATCTCTATAGTATGTTCGAAGTGTACGTTTGCATTAATTATGATAGTATTATATATATCGATATATAAATCAAATCAAATATTTGTAATGGATATATAATGTATTAAAAGAAATTCCTCCATTATCTTTACTCGGCACCTTCTACGACGTGCAATGGATAACAGAAGGCCAATTCCTGTCTTAGTCCCCGAATCGCAGGTGTGGTTTGTGTAGAAACGTTGTGGCATTTGGTTTAAAATATAACTATTAGTACAAACCAATTAAAGCATACTGCCTACAAACACATAAAGAATTGATATTACCTCCCCTGCTTCCATGCCATTATTCATGGACCACATTGTCTGGAAGTATTCCTGCATTCGGTGTTTGAGAGGTTTCGGGATGTGATGGGTGCGAAAAAAGTCCTTCAGATCCTTTGTCCTGGAATGGTAGGTGGCGCGACGTGCGTACATCCGCTGAATGATGGCAGTGACGTTACCGAATACAACGGCGTGCAGCATAGCTACAGTAGGGGCAGATAACTGGTTATTTAAGTGTGAATATCGTAATAGGTAGTATGATTTGTAAACCGTTATATATTTCCAGTTAACATATAATTATGATAATGCATTGTGATGTGAACATAAATGTAAAAATGAAATATCATGTCCATATAAAATAACGAGTTCCTTACAGACCCAGTTTTTTAGGATGCCTGCCCCTTTCAGCCGTTTAAGGTCTCGCGATTGTTAGCAAATGAGGCAAGCTCTTTAAATGTTTCTGTTTTCAAATATTCTGATATCCTCAAGATAATAAGCATACATAATTTACAATAAAAAAATACAGAAATAAATATTTGTTGTAAAGCAATATTAAGACTCAAACAACCTTAAGACAGCCTTTTTGCAAATATGTATAAAAGGTAGTTTCTAGCTATAACATCGATATCAAATTTTTCCAGTCGCTATATTATTATTTCAATGACCGATATCGAAGTTTTAAAACAATTTCCTTTTTACTTTATGTTCCGCAATACAGAGAGTACTAGGGTAATGCAAGCATAGATTCCTCCTAAGAAACCCCGATAGGCGCAAAGGGCTAAAACTGTTTAACGTTTCTACTTACCACCGACAAGCATGGCACACACAGAAAATATTTTCTCGGCGTTCGTGTTGGCGGACACATTCCCGAATCCTACACTGGTCAAACTGCTGCACGTGAAGTAGAGGGCGGACACGTACGCCGTCATCAGTCCGGGTCTGTTTGTCTTGTTAGCATTGATTGGATTATCAAGTCGCTCACTCAATTCAAACAACCAGCCTGCAACAATGCACATGTAACAATCACACAAGAGTAGGTTTATATATATATATATATATATATATATAATATATAATATATGTGACATGGATCAAAGAGGTAATATAGACGGTAAAATCGTCGGTATGGGTCAAAGAAGTAATATAGACGGTAATATATCACATAATTTAAATTAATATATGTGATATATATATCACAAATAATTGTTAACGTCTTAAGTATATATGTGTACTCCATTTATGACGTCACACATATTGTTTATGACGTCATTATTTTTGACGTCTTAAGTATGTGTACTCCATTTATGACGTCACAAATAAAAATATAAAAAAAGACGTCTAGACGTCTGCATTATGTGTACTTTGTTTATGACGGTATTATTTTTGACGTCTTAAGTATGTGTACTCCATTTATGACGTTACAAATAAATTTGAATCGTCTGAAGAGCCCCAAGATGGGCGAAAGCGCTAGCCGATTATACTAGTCTTCGTGTTTTGTTTTATTTATATATATATACATATATAGGTTGAATGCAAGACATGTTCGATTTATAAAAACATACATACTGAAGTATCAGTCAATTATAAAACAAACAGTTCCCATGTACTCAAATATAGTAGTTAAAGCATGAACATGGCAACTAATTTATCTTCGTACAAGAATGTCCTGCGCGTTATTATGTGACAGAGTATACGTTTTTTCTCGAGGCTAAGACAGGGATCTTCCACTTGATACTTAAGTTACGACTAGGTTGGGATTATGTTACAGAATCTTAGCCCTCGACTGAGATAATCCAATCTTGGATTCTTTAATTCACAACAGGCTATTCAAGCAATGTTTTGATATTTTCGGATATGAAGTTGGAGGAAAACGAGATAGTCTTACCCTACGCCTCGGTTGCGATTATTTTACAGATATCAATCAACAGATAACAGGTGACTCAATCTCGCTCGGTTACGCATACTTAATTTTATTAATCAAGTACCATAGAATGGTTAGAGATTACAATAACCATACTAAGGAATGGTAAACCGTATTAATCATCATTGATAATAGTATATTTACATTCTGGGTGTTTGTTCTGTACATGAATCTTCCAACTGAAAATTATCTGCCATTTAATTATGAATACACTATGAATACAACGATTCTCGTGCAACTAGCCAGCTGATTTCACACGCAATGACCACTTCATATTACTACACATAATACCGTTTCTGCGAATGGTTATATCCCTTTCTCCGAGATAACGTAGTTGCGAGATAGAATAATAAACATTACAAAATCATGAATGGTGCGCCATTGTACTATTATTATTCTTTCTAATTCAAAACTTAATATACTGACTTCCGACTCGCATTCGGTTTCTCGTAGTCACGAACTATCTAGGCTAACACCCAAACGTCCGGCTGGGTAATCTCTGTGACATCAACTTGCACATTAAACTCAGAGAATTTTGTAATGACACAGGGCACTTCATCCACCGACTCATCATCATTTACATCATTCAACGGATGATTTGAAATAGTGCGGACATACACTTTTTAACATATATAATATGCGGTGATTAATGCGAAAAAAAACATCTTTCAAAAATGAAAGGAATATCAGGTGTTGGTTATTATTAGATTCTAGATATATATTTTCGTTTCAACAAAATCAGCTGATCTGCGGAAGTCGAAAATTTGACGTTTGTGTGTAGGCTGGAGTTCTGGCTGTTCCTTTTTTTATGGTTTTCTGACCGATACTAGCATTAAAAATATTAAATCTGCAAAAAAGTGTTGTAACTTTTTTATTGTAGTTCATCGTAACGTAAATATATGAATTGAATGGATTTGTTGTTCATGTACATTGCGGCTATGAATAGCAGTAGCTGATCTACATATCTTCTGAGGATCAGCTATTGCTATTCATTGCCGCAATGTACATGGAAAAAACCCATTCAATCCCTATATTCAATAAAGGAAAATAATTTCAGAAGTAAATGCAATATTTTTCAACGGGAGTTTATTTTTTATCTTAAATTATTGTATACAATGGCATATTACGAAAAAATGTTTTCTAATTTATAGAGTATTAATCACTCTTGTTAGCTCGAGTACACGGAGGGTCTAACATATATAATGTGGAAGGAAATCGGAGTTCCCAAGAAAACCCGCGTGGCCGGTCAGTTGCCCCAATGCTTTTTACACGTCCCATCAGAAACTCAAATCCCGGCTGCTTTGGTGAAAGACAGGTTCGCTACCTACTGTGCCACCAGCAACTTTAAATATCAGGGTTTGAATTAGCGTTAACAACACATCCTATCTATCAAATAATAACCTGGCCGAAAAGCTACAATTGTCCTGCCTATTACGTCCAAACCCCTTCCCAGGTGTGACCTCACCTTTTGTGTAGTTTGACCTCACCTGTTGTCCAGTGTGCAGGGCTGTGGAGCATCTCGTGGTAGCCGATGGCGTACCATATACAAGCCAGCCAATGGGCGGTGAGGGCGAACAGAAGCATGAGAAGAGCGATGACGATGGCACTGTACTGAGAGTACCTGTCGATCTTCTGGAGTAGTCGGGCAAGTCGGAGCAGACGGGCAACCTTGAGCAAATGTACTGGAGTATTCTGTAAATGTAAAAAGTGTTATAAAAGGTATGCATGCTAATACAACGGTATCAACATAGAGAGACAAGAATAAAATTCGAAGTCTTCATCAAAAGTCTGCATGATGACCTGTAGTATGCTAAAATAGAACAACACACCATGAACCACCGCAGAAGAAACCAGTCGATCTACAAAAGGCAAAGAGGAATACGATATAAACAGAAAGAACACAAACAAAAGATACTGCAGTGTCAATACACTAACATAAAATATGCCAAAGCACCATCTCACACGCACAAAGTATACCATAGCGTCACTTAGTAACTCACATGGGACAATTTTATCGTTAATCTTAAAAAAACACTGTCCTTGACTTATTTATGATTTTTCGTTTAAATATTCACTACTTTAAATATTTCTCATTAAAGTACCGCAAGACATAATGTACTTTTTCAAAAATGATTTATCAAAGCAGTTGCTATAGTTACGGTTTTTGACAATGGTAGGGGATCCTTAAATAATGGTAGATACTGTAATATATTTACTTACTGTGTTAACATCAATAGTATACAAGAAATCAAATGGAATGGCAGCAAGGAGATCAAGTAAGAACCAGCCTCGGATGTAGTTGAGAGCGACCATACGGCCGTCGTACACGATCTGACCGCTCTTACTAACGAAGGAGGTCCGGAAGTTTAACACAATATCTGTCGAAGAATGAATAAAATATTTAATAATTTCTATTTTTGGACAGAATTCACGCTGCAGTGACATTCAATAACATTTGTGTTTATTAGATATCAATATCTGTCAAAGATGATATATATGATAATATATTTAATAATATATAATTTGGGACAAAATATTGGATGCAGTGACATTCAATGTTATTGTATTGTTTATAAAATATCAATATCTGTCAACGAATGAATACTACGTTTAATAATATATATTGGTACTAGGTTTCGAAGCGATGATATCTAGGGTATTTTTTTGTTCATGAAAGTATTGGATTATCTCACTACAACGTGGTTGTGATACTAATGAACAACAATCTAAATACCAACCAGTGCCTGTCGGTTTTGGCAGATTACTCTCAGATGTTATAAAACCGTGTTCTTCACTTTACGCTGCATTTTATTCAGAATGATTTTAACCATGACAAACCATAAATAAAGTAATGGAGTTATGTCTTGCCTGTTTGTTTGACGTTTATAACAGCTGAGGCACCATCAAGAGAAAGTGCAGCCACGTCGGTCAGTCCGTCATAACGAAGTTTACTGTTTATCGGTCAGATGGGATTATTAAAATATTAGATTTCTTCTATTCGGAATGTCATATTATTTTATGCACTCTCAGTATAAAGTATAGTGTTCAATAAAAATGTTAGACTAACACCAATATTGGCAAAGTTGAAAATTATTTGTCAAGGATTCTGTGTAAAGAATTGTAACTGAATTGGTGGTTCCGAAACCCCTCTCTGATATAAACTTCTGCCCGATATTTTGCTTCTTTAAAAATGTTTTTGTCTTTGGAGGCAGTGCATCTAGTGTTCCCATCACACATTAAATATAAGTATACATGTGTCTTACAAATGTAGTAAGTAAAGTTCTACTTACCAATAATAAAGAGAATTTCCACAACAACATCGGAGTAAATTGAACTTCTATAATTATTCTCGCGTGTAAATGCCGCATTGTAGGGCACCATGATAGCGGTGTAAAAGGTACACAGCAGAATCAACCAATCCCAGCCTATCTTAAATATCCCATAATGCGATATCACATAGCGCGATTTCTTCACTTCCTGTACTTTGTATTCTGGCATTTTACCGGAAATGGATTCTGTGAGCTGAAAAAGGAAAATAACGTCATGAGATATTTGGACAGGTACAAACATGTGCAGTAAAATGATGTAACATAATGGGTTTATCATTTAATTTCATGTGAAAACAAGATTACGAGGTAGATATCACAACCATATTCGTCTAAAAGACACATTTTATCCTGTCATTGTGAAAAAAGGGCTCGTCAGGAGCTGTTCTCTGTCACATCGGACCTAATGGGTTTCTATCGCAAATAGAACAGAAAACTACTGATATTTGTTTCCGAGATTTTGGCATCATATTTTCTGTTCAATTCCATTTTGTATGTCATTGAGAAATAAAATAAAAAAACTGTTTGCGCATATAGCTCGGTTTGTAGAAATCAACGTTCTTTTTTTGATTTGGAGTTTACTTTATGATTTTGTTTTGATGTTAAAATGCATCCTCGATACTCCAGAGAGTACGCTCTATTTCGCTTTCTGCACCTCTGGAATATGTCATAGTATTAAAATTGAAGGTATGCGGCTAGCTATTTGATTAGTCTTAGGTTAAACAAAACCTGACCCATCGTTGGGCTGATACAGGTCTGTCCTGTGAATATCAAAGAGGAGCCCCACCCGACATCATAGCCAGACAATTTTACCGTTATGCGACCGACAGATTATTTTGATGTTCATCAAATGATCAAACTATTCTCCTCGTCTCATCCGACAGGTGATGCGCACTGAACCTTCGATTTTGCTATGACATACACCTGGGGTGCAGAGAGCGAAAGTGAGCGCAAACTCTGTAAAAAATAGGATGTTAAACGTGCTTAATTTTACGTTATTTGCATACCATCTTGAGCTTTCGGAGTATATTTATGATTTTGTTTTGTTTTTAAACAAATGCTAGATTTGAAGTTATCTACATACCTTGTTAAGCTTTTGGAGTTTACTTTTGGCTTTGTTTTGTTTCTCAAATTGTCCTGACAGGTGGTAAAGTACTGCTCTACTGCGCCTGCGCTGATAGTTGCAGTTGGACGGCATGTCTGCCCGACATCGCACATTCGGCGGCCGAAAATTCTCATCGAGCTCATCTGTCGGCGTAAGTAAGGAAATATAAACCGGAAGTCAACATAAAAAGGAAACAGTTAAAAGGATATCCTTGTAGCTTCATATTCCCAAGGCGTTTGCATTAAATCTCAACATATTTCACATTGTTAAAATGTCTCCAATCGTACAGGGACAGGGAATTCCATACCGGAAGTTCCCGTGCTAATCACAAACCAAAAACCATATTGCTGTCATATCCACATTTTCCTGCAACTTATCCTATTCTCAGAGTGAATTCTTCAGCAAGACACTGAAAGAATGCACGGGTCAATAAATATCCCCCAGATACATTTGCTTTGGACTCGCCCAATCTACAATAGATTTAAACTTAAAATATGACTTGAGCTTACATACAAAACTCCAGAACGGGTCAATTCTTTAAATGAAATCCTATTACGTTTATAATGCAGGTGGTACATTTGTGTCAGGGAGAAAATTTCTTTGTGGAAAACATTCACGAATCACCGTATGAGATAGTGTATGCTGAAATGTATAATTTTTAATTTCAGTGCATTTGTTGTCTTGCCATGGAAATTATTGAAATTGCAACTTTTTAGTTGGGCTTGATCGAATGTCAGCTGTACAGCTGTGTGTTCAAAATGGTAACAGCATCACGTATTATTTTTTAATTTTATTTTTAGCATTCAGCGTATGCGAGATTCTTATCTATTGTTAGTCATTATCGAAACATTTTTTCCATAATACGCAGGTACATTGTAATTCCTGTTTTGGGTTATCAATCTCGTCTACGATTGAAGTTAAAAAATGTAAACAAAATAACGTCTTAACAGTTTGGATTGATCCCAGCAAATACATAATTATATACAAGAAAGTTTTCTCAAGAGGCATGAGGATTTTATCCTGTTAATAGCTTTCAATATTCCACTTTTTAATTTTAAAATTTGTTAAGGACTTCACAGGAAGTAGCTGCCTTATCAGGCGCTATGCCTAACTACTAGTCCTATCCCACCTGGCTAATATGTCCCTTTCTGTGTATGCCTGCATGTGTGCTTGAGATGTATTGTGTTCTGTTTGTAGTGGGGCCGTGCTTCCAACGGTTTAATTTATAGTGCCACCTCACTTGAATGCTACAACACAGATACTGCAACATCCACCCCAGACCATTGTATACACCATCTGGGTTGTTGGAGTTGTATGGGCAGGAGAAAAACACTTTCTCTGAATAATCCATGCGTACGGCGACTTCGGGGATCGAACCCCGGCTGCCTGCGTGGAAGGCCGGAGTGTGAACCACTCGACCAACCGCCCTTGATTAGATTAGTGTTGGTTATGTCTGCAGTTGAGATTCAGTATCTAAGGTCAATTCGATATATTATAGTATCGTAATGTTTCTGTTATTGATGACCCAGAATTTAAATGTAACATTTTCTTGTCTTTAATTTTGCAAGAAAGTGTCCTTCGCCTACGAAGTAAAAAAAAAAAAATCAATCGAACACATACAATCTTACGTAGAGAAGTACCTAGCCTCGAGCCCTTCATGAGATCCCTCGACTACTTAGACTTCAGTAAGATCAGGTTATCGACCTGTATTGAACAACTGCATCATAGCGGTTGTACTACTCCTTCGTAAAAAGACCATAATGAGACATAAGTTTGTTTAAAACATATATATCTTTAATATCACGATGAAAACATAGCTCACCCTTGTGTTGATTTAAATCTAAACAAGCATTAGTCCCACAGGAAACGGTACAATGGTATTTTAATTAGTTGATTAGCTTACAATGAACCGTAGAAATGGATCGAAGTCAATAATAACATTCCTTAAATATGTAAAAAATATATAAGATCGACAGTAAATTCCTGACATCGTTTGTATCACAGCCTGTAGCGCCAATACACGCTACAAGGAAATTTAAAGGAGAAAGTTGGAGCATGTGTATAATTGAAAGATATACCATCTTAAAAAGTTAGGGAAAACACTACATGATTTTATTGAAGTTGTTTTCGGGAGCAAGGGGAGACAAGTATATGTGACACAATTAATAATAACTTCAGAAATATATTATGAAAGAGATGGAGGACGAGAATATGGTAACAGATTAATGAAAGAAAGAAAGTATGATTGTAGTAGTAGAAGAAGGAGCCGGTTGAGAGGAAGACAGGAGGAGGAGGAGAGGAGGAGGAGGAGGAGTCAATATATGCAGAGAAAGGGGAGGATGTCAAAATTTAACTCGAGAAGGAGCTAGGTACAAGAGGACGCGAATAGAGAGAAAGTAGAAATGTCGTAAATGTTCTACACATGTAAAACACAGGAACCTGAGATCTAAACCGCTAAAACAAGTAAATTTACTCTGAAAACCTCAGTTAAGGTCCAAATATAACTTTAACAAATGGCCATGTTCCTGTATATGTGTTGTTAAATACGGGACTCATTACAACATGTCATTGGGTGTTTAGGTACATTGTAATATATATATATATAGAATCTAACATGAGTTTCCATTTTTATATGAGGTTTACGAAACGAGTCAAAGATTTTTTCAATTTAACGAGCCTCTGAAAAACGAGCGTAAGATCCTTTTTATCACATAATCAAAATGTGCGGCATTTATTCGTGTAAAACGACAATTTTCATGCAACCTCGAAATGTAAAAAAAAACACGCCATTTTGACTCCAGTGGGTAAGTCTGTGACGTCATGTACGTACTTGTTCTAGGCGTGACGTCACAATAGAAACAATTGAACATTACAACCCAGCACAGGGTTTATAGGTCATATTACATGGGTTTATATGCAAGAAAATATGACATGGGTGTATATTCACTAGAAAACACAGTACATTGTGTGATAACTTGTACATGTACAGTGTACTGTTTTCTCTTATCATTTCATACATGTACCTACCGTCACTGTCGTCGTCACTACTCTCCTTCTCCTGGACATCAGTAGATGATGATCGGTCCCGACTTATATCTTTGTAGGATACCAAAAACAAAACGATCTGGCTTTTCTCATTCTTGATTGGGATAATATCCAGTAGACACCAGAACGTCAACCCTGTACAGATACATCACACAGGGTTAAAACTGTAGACACCAAAACGCCAACCCTGTACAGATACCTCACACAGGGTTAAAACAGTAGACACCAAAACGCCAACCCTGTACAGATACATCACACAGGGTTAAATCAGTAGACACCAGAACGTCAACCCTGTACAGATACATCACACAGGGTTAAAACAGAAGACACCAAAACGTCAACCCTGTACAGATACATCACCCAGGGTTAAAACAGTAGACACCAAAACGTCAAACCTGTACAGATACATCACACAGGGTTAAAACAGTCGACACCAAAACGTCAACCCTGTACAGATACATCACCCAGGGTTAAAACAGTAGACACCAAAACGTCAAACCTGTACAGATACATCACACAGGGTTAAAACATTAGACACCAAAACGTCAACCCTGTACAGATACATCACACAGTGTTAAAACGGTAGACACCAAAACGTCAACCCTGTACAGATACATCACACAGGGTTAAAAAACACAACAGGCAATAGTTAGTCGAGTGACCAGAACAATCTCGATGTCAAACATAGGATATGAAACATAAGTGGCGTGTGACTTCCGCCATACTTAAGATATTTAATATGTGTTATGTCAGACAGGAAACAGCAGACACTGCCAAGGTCTGGTTAACTTAAATAGATATCCTTAATGAAACCCTGTTCATAATCGTTGTGAAATAGATTAAGTTCATATATATATTATTTTAAACATATTCATATTTTGCAGACTCTCGCCAATACTTCGCACTCAACTCAATAGTTTAGCTGATAGACGGGATGAAGGAGCTTCCCACCCTCGCTTTATCACAATTTGCAATTTTTTTATTTTATATATTTACAACTTGCATTTCATTGGTTATCGGGAAAACAATGGGTAATTATCTTGATAAACGATGTCCTACAATACAGACATAGTCAAAGTCTTTTATTGGGGTGTTCAGTTCCCGAACTTTTTAGAGAACAAAGAAAAGTGTTGATTTGGAAAACAATGGCAAACCAGTTATGTTTTGATTCATACTTACCCCAAAGGTAACCTACCTGTGTGAAAGTTACCTGTCTGACTTGTATATTTTTTTTGGATGGATGTGCCTGTCTGTTTGATTGTCATTTACGACGATATATTGACATCTTCTCTAGCTCTCTCATCCTCTCTCGTCTCACTGACCATGACTTACTGATTCACTCACTCTCACGCACCAACACAGAAAATAATGCCATTTTAACGTATATTCACATTCCACATTTATTTTTTTAAGTTACATTATATAACCGCTCATTAATATCTACGGAATCCAAGTGCCTTTACCGTCGTCGAAAACGATATTCTTGGAACATCCTGACAACACATAGATGTTTGCTTCTTACGACTCATTTAATGTGAGACGGGAAGAAAAGCGTGCAAATAACACCGATGCCGTTGTGTTGACGTTGTTTAATCCCCTCCTCTCCCCTAAATTCCCTCAATCGTTCACATCACCTACCTCCTTTCCGATATAGAAGAATTTCCGTTTTTATTTCCTCGATGTTTTCTAGTGCTTCGTCAATTTTCTCCTTTTCACTTTCTTTCGTCTTCGGTCCGCGGAGAAACTTACAGGAACAGCTCTTCCCCATCACGTGCGCTCGTGAATATCCGGTTAGTTCACAGAAACCGTCCGAGCAGTAGACGATTGGACAGCCTGTCGCCTGGGCGTTACCGAGCACGAAGTTACTGTCTGTAAGATATAAAACGGTCAACAGTTATCATACGTACGTAAAATAATGAGTGTGGCTAGTTGTTTTTTTTATCAACACACTAAGGTCACATTTCAATTATTTGATGCATTATCGTCCCGAAGTTTAAAATGAGGCAAAATGATGGCGAAAAAAAAGACAAAACTAAATCAAACGAGATTTTAAAAAATGAAGAAAAAACTCCGAATTTTTCGCACAATTGTCACAGTGTAAACGTGCATACCGTCCCCAAAATCGTTGTAAAACACAACTTCAGCATTTACCAAGTAATGTACTTTATACCACAAGGTCATTTTGAACAGACGCAAAACAACATTTGTATTCGGCGTTTTTTATAACCTGTGCTAGTTTGCTATTTTACAAGGCAGGCTATTATGTAGTACAATTTATTTTGTACACCTTCGGTCCGCAAAGCAGTCTAAACTCTGAGCTCCGGTGCGCAGAGAGGGTTATACAAAGCTGTCATTAAATCGAAGGCGAGTTGCCTCCCTCTATTCGTTGAATCTTCGACCACCTCAAATTTCAAACCCCCCCTCATAAGTCATATTCAAAGACCTCAATTAAAAATAGGAATTTATATAGGTAATTTAAGTATACTGAACTTGTATATTTGTTATTAAAAATAGTCGAAAATTAGACATTAAGGCTGATGTCGTTATAAGAATAGCTCAAAAATGTGCAGAATAGTGCTAAGAAATGACCCACAATTTACAGTTTATGTATATGCCTAGGTCATGCGGAGATTGATTTCTCTTCTCCTAGCTGTTGAGAGGAATTCCTACCTCAAATAAAGATAGATGTTGTCATGCGATACCACTAAAATCATACTAAAATCCCCTGGCAATATACAATGTATTTTAGCACTGATTATCAATAAGAAAACAAAGCCATAGTAACCTTGATCGATCAATGAACTTAAGATGATGTGGCATTTAAAAACATTCTGTGATGTTATAAATGCCCTAGATATGTTATAAAAATTGAAGCTGAAAGTGCGGTCATGTTTATAATATGTTTAGCTTTATTTTTATAAAAAAAACATTGAATGTTAGGAAAGGACACTTTATATGAAGTTGAAGTGTTTTTTATGGTCATAGGTTTGTGGTTTTACACATATATACCAGTAAACTATGTTACTCGGACGTTTTACTATGATTTTTGTACATGTTCATAGCAACAATCATCTACTTTGGAGGTCGGTATGCCTCTTCATACCTAATTAAAGAGAAATAAATGAACTTGAAATACTATGTAATTTCGTAGCGTTCAGTTAAGTCGCGAAAGAGACTGACATGTTTTTAGTGCAGTGAGCTATTTTTATGAGAAAAAAAAAATAGACTAAATGCTTTATTATATTGACTACGTAAACCTAATTATGTACATTTGTATTAGCTTATGTAAAAGTTTAATATATTCATTTAACATATATATATTCCGATTTTAATAAGGGCTGTGAATATGACTAACCAGGGTGTTGAAATTTAGGGTGGCTATTACATCCTTTAGGGAGTATGTTCGACCTTAACATCTATCAAGTGAAATCCACGTCTCTTTTGCTGCATACACTATACACCCTGTAGAAATATTGTGTTTCGCCTTTTAATACCTAGATTTTGATCATTTCTAAACTCATATTATTCAGATCAATTTATTCTATCTTCGTACACGTTTACTCTGCCTTTATACAAACTGGCTATTTTAAGGGTTATTACCGTTACTCTTCGGCAACGTTTCTGTATTGTAATTACATACTATGTATCAATATCCCAGCATCAAAGAAGTTCTTATACCTCCATAAAAGTACGACCATTGCAAGGTAAACATTGAGAACTCTTGTATTTGAAGCTACAATTATTCACGTAGAGGCTAGGTAAAATGTGAGAACCCTTGTATTTGAAAGTAGATAATTCCTGCACCATACAAAGAATTCCCGTACTGCTGGTTCGCTAACATCACATTGGGTTTGGGATTTTAAAGCGTATCGAAACATGATGGGATTATATCTTACTGTCCATCTTTCGATCCATGTGCGACTTGTGTGTGAAAGTGACGATTTGTTTCTAAAATATCAGTTTGAAGTGCGCTCCAGGCGCGGGTCGCATATTTCCCGCATATTATAGAGGGCCGGAGTTCTGACGTTAATCGACGACAGACCGATATGAAAAAAGTCGATAAAACGTCAGAATAATTCGGACTAACTGTCCGTGTATTAAAAAAATGTTAATCGTTTTTGTTGGCCTGGATGGAAGTGCATATGGACCTTAATATACGAGGGTAAACTGACTCACTCGGAGAAAAAAACCAACGGCTTTTTAAACATATTTCATTGCCTTCAATGACAAACGAATTGTGTACAAGTAATTACAATGTTGAACGAATTGTGAACAGGTTATTGCAACGTTGAACGAATTGTGTACAAGTTATTGCAACGTTGAACGAATTGTGTACAAGTTATTGCAACGTTGAACGAATTGTGTACAAGTTATTACAACGTTGAACGAATTGTGTACAAGTTATTACAACGTTGAACGAATTGTGTACAAGTTATTACAACGTTGAACGAATTGTGTACAAGTTATTACAACGTTGAACGAATTGTGTACAAGTTATTACAACGTTGAACGAATTGTGTACAAGTTATTACAACGTTGAACGAATTGTGTACAAGTTATTACAACGTTGAACGAATTGTGTACAAGTTATTACAACGTTGAACGAATTGTGTACAAATTATTACAACGTTGAACGAATTGTGTACAAGTTATTACAACGTTGAACGAATTGTGTACAAGTTATTGCAACGTTGAACGAATTGTGTACAAATTATTACGACGTTGAATACAAGCTGTTGCAACGTTGAACGAATTGTGTACAAGTAATTACAACGTTGAACGAATTGTATACAAGTTATTACAACGTTGAACGAATTGTGTACAAGTTATTGCAACATTGAACGAATTGTGTACAAGTTATTGTAACGTTGAACGAATTGTGTACAAGTTATTACAACGTTGAACGAATTGTGAACAAGTTATTATAACATTGAACGAAAGGTGATCAAGTTATTATAACGTTGAACGAATTGTGAACAAGTTATTATAACATTGAACGAATTGTGTACAAGTTATTACAACGTTGAACGAATTGTGTAAAGTTATTACAACATTGAAAGAATTGTGAACAAGTTTTTATAGCGTTGAACGAATTGTGTATAAATTATTACAACGTTGAACGAATTATCTACAAGTTATTACAACGTTTAACGAATTGTGAACAAGTTATTTTAACATTGAACGAATGTGTAAAGTTATTACAACGTGACAAAGGCCTATCCGCAATTAATTTGCATTTACCTAGGAGTTTGGCAGATGACCTCATATTCTTATGTCCTATCAGGGAATCGAACCCCGCCGACTTGGTCTAGTTTGCTATCAAGCGCGCAAACAAACCACCGATTGTACATGTGCATGTTACATCGTGACATCGTGACATAACCTACTGTATACATTTCTACGATAGAAGACTATAAACAAAGAAATAAATAATTAAAGATAGAAAGAAAGAAAACAAACAAAACCGTTCGGATTTGGCTTTTTTGATTCTCCGAAAAATGTCGATTTCACATATCCTTCGTGTGCATACTTAATTAGATTTGACACATGACAGGGAGGCCCAGACCTGTCCAGTGAACCACACTGTTGCAGCCGTGTTATTTCTAGTTATCGCACACATAAATCTGACAGCTTACTTAAGGTCATAGGAGTGTATTGATAAACGGAAATAGGAAGTACATCCCTAATTGAAAATCCAATGTAGGGAGACAGTATCACAATTTCCGCATATTCTAATGTTTGATGAATATTGTATGTTTATTGTTGACATAACAGTGTTTTCTCTCAATATTAAAGTATTTCAAAGCAATGCAGGCATTAATTCAGGTGGGATTTTTATCAATGAGCCACATGTATCCATTTTTCTGTACATGTACTTCAGGAAACCGACTACCTATTTCACTACTGTGAAGTTTTTCAAGAAAGATAACTCTTACCTGTAATAACAATATGCATATGGTTTTATTATAAAATGTCAATTTTTAATCGTTTAAAGATAATTTATTTGACATAATTTCAGCATTTATGAAATTGATATACATTAATGCAATTCTAATCTATGGCAGTATCATTTTTTTGACATTATTTTGCAAAAAATTGTGTCTTTCATCTTTTTTTTCAAAAGTCATTCCTTTTTTCATAAATTTCCATTTAAATTCCTTAAAATTTTGACAACCTATATTTTTTGTGGCAGAAAATTGTCTTTACTTCAAAGCAATATAACAACCAAAATTGGAAGAAATTCTACTGAGAAATGGCGACACGATCCTATTACCTTAACCAAAATCCGCTCTGTGGACAATTTGAAAGATATTGAAGAAAGGTTAATTAAGTTTAATTACAGAAATTGTCTAACAATCGCTGTGTATTGGGAGTCCCAATAAACATCTCCATGGCGAAATTAATGCAAAAACGCCAACACATGCTGACAGACACAGACGTAAACCTTTCAGGGAAATGATCTCGCTCGGAAAATTATGTGATGTCTTGCAAGGCAGTGACATTATAATAGCCCTTTAAAAGTGGTCTTCGCTCAACAAACTACACTCATAATCCCGAAGACTGCCGACAAGGCGCATCTGAAATTGAGTTACCCTAACGGTTTCCCTTTCAAGTACGCCATCCCTCAAACCGTCCTCTACAGGATTCTGAATCCTAACACCACCTTGACACACATTTTCAGGATCCTGTTTTTATCTTCCTTCGGCGTGATATTTTGTTTTCAGAAATGCAATATAGTGTCATAATTTCTATTCCGGAATTGTCCTTCTAAAAGTTCAGGGATGAAGTAGAAAAAAAATTGCTGTAATCAACTGCAAGTACTCACAGGCGACAGAAGTACATTAAAAATAAAAGACAACGCTACAGCG